GTGTAGTGTATAGTAGTGTATAGTGTAGTGTATAGTATAGTGTATAGTGTAGTGTATAGTGTAGTGTATAGTAGTGTATAGTGTAGTGTATAGTGTAGTGTATAGTGTAGTGTATAGTAGTGTATAGTGTAGTGTATAGTAGTGTATAGTGTAGTGTATAGTGTAGTGTATAGTAGTGTATAGTGTAGTGTATAGTAGTGTATAGTGTATTGTATAGTAGCGTATAGTGTAGTGTATAGTAGTGTATAGTGTAGTGTATAGTATAGTGTATAGTGTAGTGTATAGTAGTGTATAGTGTAGTGTATAGTGTAGTATTTAGTAGTGTATAGTGTAGTGTATAGTGTAGTAGATAGTGTAGTGTATAGTCGTGTATAGTGTAGTGTGTAGTAGTGTGTATTAGTGTAGTGTATAGTGTAGTGTATAGTGTAGTGTATAGTGGTGTATAGTGTAGTGTATAGTATAGTGTAGTGTATAGTAGTGTATAGTGTAGTGTATAGTAGTATATAGTGTAGTGTATAGTAGCGTAGTGTATAGTGTAGTGTATAGTAGTGTGTATAGTAGTGTGTAGTGTATAGTGTAGTGTATAGTGTAGTGTATAGTGTAGTGTATAGTGTAGTGTATATTAGTGTATAGTGTAGTGTATAGTGTATAGTAGTGTAGTGTATAGTATAGTGTATAGTAGTGTATAGTGTAGTGTAGTGTATAGTAGTGTATACTGTATAGTGTAGTGTATAATAGTGTATAGTGTAGTGTATAGTAGTGTATTGTAGTGTATAGTATAGTGTATAGTAGTGTATAGTGTAGTGTATAGTGTAGTGTAGTGTATAGTGTAGTGTATAGTAGTGTATAGTGTAGTGTATAGTGTAGTGTATAGTGTAGTGTATAGTAGTCTATAGTAGTGTGATGTGTATTGTATAGTGTAGAGTATAGTAGTGTATTGTGTAGTGTATAGTATAGTGTATAGTGTAGTGTATAGTAGTGTATAGTGTAGTGTATAGTGTAGTATTTAGTAGTGTATAGTGTAGTGTATAGTGTAGTAGATAGTGTAGTGTATAGTCTTGTATAGTGTAGTGTGTAGTAGTGTGTATTAGTGTAGTGTATAGTGTAGTGTATAGTGTAGTGTATAGTGTATAGTATAGTGTATAGTAGTGTAGTGTATAGTGTAGTGTATAGTGTAGTGTATAGTGGTGTATAGTGTAGTGTATAGTATAGTGTACTGTATAGTAGTGTATAGTGTAGTGTATAGTAGTATATAATTGTGTGTGTAGTGTATAGTTGTAGTGTATACTGTATAGTGTAGTGTATAGTAGTGTGTATAGTAGTGTGTAGTGTATAGTGTAGTGTATAGTGTAGTGTATAGTGTAGTGTATATTAGTGTATAGTGTAGTGTATAGTGTATAGTAGTGTAGTGTATAGTATAGTGTATAGTAGTGTATAGTGTAGTGTAGTGTATAGTAGTGTATACTGTATAGTGTAGTGTATAATAGTGTATAGTGTAGTGTATAGTAGTGTATTGTAGTGTATAGTATAGTGTATAGTAGTGTATAGTGTAGTGTATAGTGTAGTGTAGTGTATAGTGTAGTGTATAGTAGTGTATAGTGTATTGTATAGTGTAGTGTATAGTGTAGTGTATAGTAGTCTATAGTAGTGTGATGTGTATTGTATAGTGTAGAGTATAGTAGTGTAGTGTATTGTGTCACATGGTACAAATAAGTGGCAAAAGAAAATACACCTGCATAGGGAAAGTGGGTGATTAAAATTTTGAACCACCTGCAGCAAACAAAGTGTCAATCACCACCAGAGACTAGAGGGTGAATGGAGGACGACCCCAGGCCTCTCCGCTCTTGAACTCCAGCCAGCAGGGAACGAGAGCGGGTACCCAGAAACCGGCCACGCTTCCAGCTTGGACACCCGGTGGGGAGCAGGGAAGGGGCAGTGGAGCACAAGGAGGCTGCCTCTGACACCTCCCTATGGTAGAAAGGAGCCAGGAGGCGCCGGATCGCTTCCTCTCCTCCTCCGACGACGGTGTCAGGCTGGCGGTGGTGCTCGAGTGGCCTGCTGAGGTGCCATCTGTTGAGGAAGTACTGAAGGCGATCCAGAGTCTGAGACCAGGAAAGGCACCAGGCAGAGATGATCTCCCAACCGAAATGCTGAGGGAGGGTGGCGTTTGTGCACAGATTGCCCTACATGACATAACAATAGTCTGGAACACTGGACGTGTTCCGCAGGATTGGAAGGATACTCTGGTGGTCCCCTTCTTTAAGAAAGGGGACCGCACAGACTGTAACAACTACAGGGGCATCTCACTACTTAGTGTGCCGGGAAAGGTCCTGGCAAGGATTATTCAACATCGCCTTGCTAGGCACGCGGCTTTCTAGGCAGGAGAGGCTTGTGGAGCCCCAATGCCGTTTCAGGAAAGGGCGGTCCTGCACATGCCATATTTTCTGTCCGTCTGCTACAGCAGAGGTGTAGGGAATTTCAACAAGACCTACAACTCTGCTTTATTGACCTGGTCAAGGCCTATGATACCATCAGTAGGCCTGGGCTCTGGGCTGTTCTTCGTGCTTTCGGAGTCCCTGACCCTCTGCTCACGATCATTAAGGACCTTCATGATGGTTAGCGGGCCCGGGAAAACTACGTGGCCGGGAGTCAGAGCCTTTTTTTGTACACCTTGGGATGCGACAGGGATGTTCTCTTGCTCCCACATTATTTAACATCTATTTTGACCACGTAGTTCGTGAAGCCTTCAAAAGCTGTACCGGAGGAATTTCCATCTGGTCCAGATATAATGGGAGGCTGATCGATGCCCGGGTGCGGTCAAGGGATGACTCCCTATTACTCAACCATGTTACGTATGCCGATGATCTGGTGAATGCTGCTCACTCAGAGGAGGAGTTGGAGGCGCTGCTGCTGAACCTGGAACTTGCCACCGGGAGTTGGGGCCTTACCATCAGCCCCACCAAAACTAAGCACCTGCCTGGGCATTTTGTACCATCGGACACTCCACCCCCACAACTCTCAATTGGTTATGGGGCAGTTGTGGAGAGAGTGTAGAGTTTCCTATACCTGGGCAGTGTGCTCATGACCGGCTCCGGTTTAACAGCAGAGGTCTCACTCCGAATCAGTCAAGCGGCATTATCTTTTCATTGGTTGCGTAACGCTGTGTGGGAGCTAAGTTCAGTTCAGTTCATGTATTTGGTATAGCCCTGCGAGCCATTCGGCTCTTGAATCGGGTGCAACCGCAACAAACAAAAACATGAACATGAAACATCTTAAAGAGACTACGTGCAATAGAAAAATCCAGGAAAAAACAGCAAAGTCTTCCAGATAAGGCACCGCATATCAATGCTGTGTGCAAAAATCCCAGTGGGATGCAAGTCAAACAATAACAACCATAAGACAATTTATATTATCAGTCTAACTCTATACTACAACAAACAAATATGGCTAAACCAGAACTTTTTCGAAATCACCAAAATAAAGCTACAAAAACAATGTAACAGTGATCATAGGAACTGTGATTCCAATTTAACAATAAACGATATATATAACATGTACGAGCAAACTTTGCAACCATAGCTGGCTGCATGAGTCACTGCATAACAGCAGGAGTATCAGTAGGAATATATAAAATTTTCAATGTATCTTTAAAGATTAGCACACTATAATCAAAACACAAGATGTTACTTTGCAGCGGTCATCCGGAGCGATACATTTGATTTCAGGCCACTGAATAGCAGTGGCAGCGAGGGTGGACAACTCCTCTAGAGCATCTTCTTGGTTCTTTCGGTAAAGTCACGTAGAAAGAAATAAAAAAATAATAAAAAGAAAACATAATAAAATTATTCTCACGAGGTTTCGGCCACAACGCAAGTAGCCGTCTTCAGGTGAAGAACAGGTCTGTCAAGGAGACAGAATTATTTTATTATGTTTTATTTTTATTATTTTATTAATTTATTTCTACGTGACTTTACCGAAAGAACCAAGATGACTCCCTGCAGTCACGAAAGCTTTAAATCGAAATCCTCTAGAGCAGTTTTGAGTGAATATCTCATAAGTAGTGATTGAAGTTGCAGTTTATTGGAAATAGCATTCCAGACCCTGGGGGCTTTAATAGCAAAGGCCCTTGCTCCAGTATTTGTACGGCAATAGGGAATGTGAAGCTGGCAAATGAGCGAAGACCTTAGGTCAAATTTGTTCTTTGAAACAGAGAGGAGATCCAGCAGGTAGTCTGCGGATTTTTTGTCGTCATACGCATCATGAGATGCGGCGTCTTTTCATAGACAGGCAGTACATTGCACACCATTGGGTGGCAAAAACGTCGTCTTCCTCATGCTCACATTTCCCTCGTGATGCATGTTAGGACCAACGAAGGTGGCGTCTCTCGCTCCGCACGAAGCTTCAGGTCTTCTCGGCCACAGTCATTCCCTTCCTTCTCTACGCTTGCGAAACGTGGACCCCCCTGATGGAGCATCTTCGCCGGTTGGAAACATTTAGGATGGCGTGCCTACGATCCATCCTGGGTTTAACCAGGCTGGATTGTGTGAAGAGCTCAGAAATCCTTGAAAGATCTGGACAAGGCCCCATCGTTGAGCTCCTCCAGCAGGCAAGGCTGCGTTGGCTGGGCCATGTAGACCGCTTGCCCAGCCACCACATGCTTAAACAGCTTTTGTTCGGCCGGATCGAGGGGGCTAAACGGGTGCGGCAGGGGCTAGAGAAGAGATGGAGTGATGTGGTACAGGAGGACGTGGAACTGAGTGGACTTGCCGATGACTGGAACTAGCGGTGTCAAGATCGGCCTCTGTGGAGGAGGCTCGTGAAGGACGCTGCTGGGCAGTTGGAGGCAGTTGCCCTCCAACAACAACGGAGGGCGGAGGAGTGACGCTCACAACAAGTGGAGCGCCGGGTGGCTAAAGAACAACAAGTTGGCACAGTAGGGGGCACAGGTGGTGCATCAGCCAGTCGTCTCAGTAAGTCGACCCGTGGCATCTGGGTCTGCGCCGTGACCTCCTGCCAGCGGGCGTTCGACACTTCACGTGGCCTCAAGGTGCACACGGCCTGGCACAAGCGTCGTGCTGACGTCACCGCCACTTAGTGGCGAATGGCGGTTGTTGTTGTTGATAGTGATGATGATGGGGTGACGATGATGGTGCTGATGGTGAATCGCAGGGATGAGGAGGCGTGGTGACGTGAGCGCGCACTGCAGGCAAAGGAGCGGCCACACGAACCTGCGATTTGAACTGCACCGGCGACACCTCTCATGTCCGCCAACCTGAACCTCACCCTCCCCCCTCACCCTACCCCTCCATGCTCACCTCTCCCTTCCCTCAATTTTCACCTCATCCTCCCCTCACCCTCACCTAACCTCACCCTCCGTTTTACCTTCCCCTCACCCTCACTTCACCCTCTCCTCACCATCCCGCTTCTCCACCGTTGATTGGGTTACATGTTATACTAATAGGGGTTTTTCCCCTTTTTTCTGGCAACAAAACTGACACCTTTTACAAGGAATCATGCTTACATTAACCACAATACTTGCAGTCAAATGCAAACAAAAATCAATACTCTGATAATGTATGCATTGTCTTTTAAACGGATTGGTCCACACCAGAGACAGCTTTCTTTGGAGCCTTGTCTCATATGGTGTCGAACACCTAGTCTCATATGGTGTCGAACACCATATGAGACTAGGCTCCAAAGAAAGCTATCTCTGGTGTGGACCAATCAGTTTCAAAGACAATGCATAAATTATCAGAGTATTGTTTTGTGTTTGCATTTGACTGCAAGTATTGTGGTTAATGTAAGCATGATTCCTTGCAAAAGGTGTCAGTTTTGTTGCCAGAAAAAAAGGGGAAAAACCCCTATTAGTATATTTTGGTACTGGCAAAGGAGGTCCCATGATGGGTTACATGTTGTTTATGTCATTTATTGTGAAAATTCCGTCACAGTTCCTATGATCACTGTTTCATTGCTTTCATGGCTTTATTTTGGTGATTTCGAAAAGTGTATTGGTTTAGCCATGTTAGTTTGTTGTAGTACAGAGTTAGACTGATGGCCTTAATCTAAGTTGTCTTGTGGTTGTTGTTGGTTGTTTGACTTGCATCCCACTGGGATTTTTGCACACAGCGTTGGTGTACGGTGATTTTTTTCTGCAATGTTTTGCTGTCTTTTCTCGGATTTCTGTTTGCACTCAGTCACATATTCACTTTAAGATGTTTTCTTGTTCATGTTTTAGTTTTTTTGTTTGTTGCGGTTGCACCCGATTCAAGAGCCGAATGGCTCACAGGGCTACACCTAATACATGAACTTGAACTTGAAACTAACCTCACCCTCCGTTCCACCTTCCCCTCACCCTCACTTCGCCCTCTCCTCACCATCCACCCTCTCAACCATTTATTGGGTTTCTATCTCTCTTAATCCTCAGGATGCATGACTCCGATCCACGATCTTCAATCGATCATTACAATACCCCACACACATCGCAGGGTAGAGAGGCTGCAAGAATCTCTGCCGAACCTCGTGGATCACCTCCATGGAGTCGGCGCGGTAAAACGCTAGGAGCCCCCCCTCCCAGTGCAGGTGAAGCCCGATTCTGCGGAGGGAGGGGGCCCCCCCCACCGACAGTGCAGTCTTCACTCCACCATGAAACACTGAGAAGTTGTCGTCACATTTCTCTAAACACCAGGACGCGTCGCTCTCTCCCAGCTGCTGTGCAGCACGATCCCCTTTCCGTGGGATCGTCCCGTACGCGACTCCAACCCGACACCGCCGCGTGTCCCCCACGTCCACCTCCCAGTAGTGGTGGCCCGACGAGAAGCTCTCACAGCACAGGGCTTGTGACCAGTAATTAAACCGCTGTGGGTGGTCGGGGCGACCCTGGGAGTCACCGGTCAGCGTTATCCTCCTGAGATCCGAGGAGATCTTTAGTTTGTTATTAGCTGAGTTTGTGTCCAGAGTCGGTGAGCATCCGTCTGTGACAACAGCGATGACAACATCACTACCGAACAGCATCATCACCATCATTCACAATCGCCAACCATCATCTTCACCATCAACAATAACATCACAAGCATCCTCGCCATAAATATCATCAATAACAACATAAACATCACCATCACCACCATCATCAACACTATGAACATCAACATCACTATCGCAATAAGCAACATCACAACCATCATCACCACCACTAGCACCATTACAAACAATCACCACCACCATCATCACTACCAACACAACTATCCCCATCACCACCATATTCATCACTATCACCACCATCACTACCATGACCACCATCACCAATATCATCACTACCACCATCAGCGCCATCCGCAAAACCATCACCGCCTATATTATCACCAATGTCACCATCATTACCATCACCACGACCATCACTGCCATCACCACGACCAACACCATCACCAAACCCATTACCATTCTCATCACTCACATTATCACTAACATCAGCATCATTACCACCATCCTCATCACGGCCACTATCACCATCATTATGACCAGAAAACCAGCATCAGGAACTCATTTGAGGATGAAACTGCCGAGCAGAGGCCCAGGACTAGATCAGATATCACCCGCCACGGATGTTATCCATGGCGGGTAATCAAACCCAGGTAACTGGGTTTACAGTGCAGTGTGCTAACCACTATGCCACCGCTCCCCCCATGCACAAATGCACAGACACATTCACAGGCACACACTCCATCTCAACATCACAATTACCCCTGACTCGTAATGCTGAATATTTACCCAAGAACATGGCTCTGTTCAGTAGGGTCCTGGAATGGGATGTGAACAAAGACTAAGATCCCCTGTGTAGCCTTCACAGACTATTGGGACAAGTGCTGTCCATGAGAGTCTATGAAGGCTGGCATGGCACACGAGGTGGGTGGCCAGCACCGCGCCCGACCAACTTTGTCTCCCTAGTGGCAATTTGGTTTACACACCGCATCAGGTTCCAGGATGTAAACAGAGAAATATCCCCTGTGTAGCCATTACAGACTGTGGGGGCAAATCAGCACCGTTAAAGGTTGACATGACATACGAGGGGTGGGTGGCCAGCACTATGCCTGGCCGCCTTTGTCTCCCTAGTGGTGATATTTATAAAACTCCAGGTAATTATTTGAGGCTAAGTCGACCTCGTGCACACACACGGGGATCATTTATTGTCAAGATGGCCCCATCACACATGATTCATACTGAAGAACTCACACAAGCGTTTGACTGCAGTTGTCTCCAGGACTTTAAGTGAGGCAATGTCCTCTTGGCAGGGAGCTGAGGGTGGAGCTGATGTAACCCTCCCTGCCCTGTGAAAGCAGAGCAGACATGGCCACTGTCTCACGCAGAGCATCATCCTTCACAGGATCATCACAGCTCCATCACATAGACACTTATCACATCATTACCACGCGTGGGATCATCACCGCTCCATCAGACATGCACTCATCTAACACAGCATCATCACTCATCTCACAATTACAGCATCACCACACAGAATTACTATAACCACACAGCTTCATGCACACCATCACCACACACAGCGTCATCACATACAGCAACATCAGAGCACCATCAGACAGCATAATTACACACAGCATTACCAGACACCCCATCATTACACGCAGCATTATCACACAGCATCATCATAGACACCATCATCACACACCATCATCACACACAGCATCACTACACGCACCATAACCACACAAACCACCATCACAAACACCATCACCACACAAACCATGACAACAAACAGCATCCCCACACACAGCCAATGTCTCACGGTCTGCGCCCCACACTCCCATGTTGTCGTGTGTCGAGTCGTGAGTGATAGTCGTCTTTTACCTGCGCATCTCCTCCAGGTGCCCCTATGGGAGAGAGAGATGTGCGTTACTGTGACTCTACCTCCAATCCCTTGTGATCAGTGGAGTTCCCACTGCAACACCGTGGAATATAAAACCCAAAGTCCTGACTTATGACCCTATGATCACCAACACTGACTTACGGGGCAAATATTTCAGTGAGACCGGTTGATAGTCAACCGTAAACTTTATATTTTTCCAGGTAACGCCCACGGAGCTATTTAGCTCTTTTTCAGAAGCGACATGGCCACAAATAGCTCAAGGAAGTGGTTCATCACGTGGAAATTTATAGCAGCCCGATACTCTAAACTCACGTTTTCAAATGTGTAGTGAAAAACTGGAGGACCCGGAGAAAAATCAATGCGACCATGGAGGGAGAAATGTTGGGATCTCATCCCGGACCTTCGGTATCCCGGCTAGGTAGTTAACATCTCGCTGAGCCAGAATCTATATACAAACACAGAGACAATTTCAACCGAGAAGATGGATTCTGGCTCAGCAATCATTTGAAGGACGTAATAAACCATTTCGGATCTTAACTGATTGTGTTCACGTTTACGGTGACTTTCAGACCGCGTTCCACTCACTGGCATTGACTATATATCTTCTATTCTCCGCAGCGAATGGATTCTTAGCTCCGCTGCAAGTCTCCTATACTACTCTCCCATTGATATATTTCGTTGCTTCCTCTTAGTATCTTTCACGCGACGGTCAATTGTATTGTATAGCGGATTGTATAATAATAAATAGTATAAAATTGTAATGTTTAATACAATGTACAAAGTAATATATAGCATCGTAATTGTATAGTGAATATACAGCAGTGTGATATACATTAGGGTGGGTAGAATAATACATAGTGTAATTTTACAATGTACAAGGTGGTGTATAGTAATACAGTATATAATTTAATGTTGGGTTGGTCTATGGCAGTATATTATAGTATGGTGTAGACTCGTGTGATGTAAGAGAATAAAGTTTAGCTGGAAGCATATTATATTTTTTGCGACATAGAATTGTAATGTATTACTTACTGTTAGTAGCTCAGCTTATTGGAGAGTTTATTTAGTATACTGATGATACTATGTAGTTTATACTTTAATTGTTTTACGTGGTGGTTTAGTTACTGCAGCTACATACTATTAACATTCCTTCCCTTTATTAATGTTACCCCTATCCACTCCCTTTGATGCTGCTAATCCTGCATAATGCACGGGCATAATGACTTTATACTCCCCGCTAAACCTCCTACGCATTTCACAAGTAGTACTAATCGCATATCTGCATTTCCCATAAATATGCTAAATTCCTCTTGATATGCAAATTCCTTTGTCAAGGCGCTCTGCCCCCCTCCATCCCAGCTTAAATAGTCGCTCCAAGCCTGGGGCGTGTCATTCAGACTCTGTCTTCTCGACAGACCTGTTCTCCACCTGAGGACGGCTGCTTGCGTTGTGGCCGAAACGTCGTGAGAATTATTTTATTGTTTTATTTTTATTATTTTATTATTTCCATTCTACGTGACTTTACCGAAATAACCAGGAAGATGAATCCCTGCAGTCACGAAAGCTTTAAATCGAAACTGTGTACATTGTTGTTGTATGGTTGATTTAAGAAGTGAAATTCCATTAACATTTAGTTTAAAATCACAATGAAACAAACTTAATGGGAATCTGTTACAGGATGGGAAAGATAATTTATTTAAATGAGAAAATATGAGCTGGCCTTCCACGTGGCAGCCACTTGAGCTGCGATGTGAATCCATCAGTGGAGCTGTGTTCTCAAGCCCAGGAGATGCGAGCTCTCATTCAGGATCCTCCCTCTGCTGCTGTTGATGCTGATCAGTGGGCTCTGTGCCAATGGCAACACCGGAGACTCATCGCTCACCTGCAGGAACGCGAGCGAGTCCCTCTCCTGCGCTAGGGCCTGCAGGCGAGTGGCTGCTGTCTGGAGCTCGCTGATGTCGCGCTGGTAGTGAGCGATCTTCTTATCGATCTGGGACAGCAGCTCGCGCCCTTTCTGCTCCGCTTGCTCTAAAGCCGCCTTCTCCTCCACATCCAACGCTACTCTCGCGCGGGTGAATCTGACCGAGATTGAGGCCTTTTCATCTGTCATGGATCCCTGCAAAGAGAAATAAACTCCACCTCTGGTCTTTTGTGAAATGATCCGATTGCAACTCTAAGGAGTCCAGACAGTAATACGAGTCTGCTGTACTGAGGCCTCCTTCTTCCTCTGCCTCTGATAACGCCACTGTGCATTTTCACTACAACACGATTCGCCATAACTGGTGGGGGCTGTGAGGCAATTAAATCATCAAATACCATCATGAGTACATTTAGCATCCATGCCATTGTCATTGTGCAAGGTTATCAGGACGATGCTTTGTTTACCTTCGCATGAAGAGAAGGGAATTCTGTAAAGAGCCTTAATGAAATGGGAAGTTAGGCCAATTCCTCCTTAAATTAATGTTTTGAATGTGAGGAAAACTACATGTACGGCTGAAGAGAGCGGATCATGAAACCACTTGCTATACTGCCACCTGGCCACCCCAAAGCTTGAGTGATTTTAGTAAGATGGTGTACAACAGTCTGTGTGTGATCACCAACTCTGCCACCAGAGTATTGGATAAGAGGCACGTGCCACCTCATCTGACCAATATAGTTTACAGTCGTTGAAGTGGTAAGTTGTATGGAGATATGGGAATGTGGAATTTCCACCACTGATTGAGTTTCTCAGTGGAGATGAGAACCACCTCTTTGCTCATCCTGATTATTGAGGCGCATTAACTGTTGTGTCTTTAGTCCCACAATGTGTTTAGAGCCAATGGAAGTCCACGTGAATGAATGGAGTTCTCCTCCATCACAAACCCTACTCAGGGTGGAGTCACGGAGTCACCGAGTCCAGCCCAGACGCGGTACCTGCACGTCCCTGCGATCGGCCTCCATCCGCCTCACGGACTCCTCCGCCTCCTTCCTTTTCTCCTCCACTGCCCGCGTCTCCTCTCCCACTTGTTTCTGTGAGAGACGTCACCAGGAGAGACTAAACTCACTCTCTAAGCATCCCCTCTCACCCCAACTCCACGCGAACCCCTCCACAATGATGGCGGCAATAGCCCCGGAGGAGCAAGCGCAGAAGGGAACTCATTTTTCGAGGAGCTCAAACGTGCGCAGGGCTACCAAAGTAGTGGGTGGGGCTACTTGAGCAGTGGGGGGGGGGGGGCTACTTAAGTTGTTGGTGGAGCTGCCTCAGCAGTGGGCAGAGCTACCTGTGTATTGGGTGGAGCTACATGCGTATTGGGTGGGGCTACCTGAGGAGTCGGTGGAGCTACATGCGTATTGGGTGGGGCTACCTGCAGTGTGGATTGGGCTACCTGCGTAGTGGTTGGGGCTGCGTGAGTGTTGAGCGGTGCTGAGTAGTGGGTGGAACTACCTAAGCAGTGAGTGGGGATACCTGAGCATTGGGTAGGGCTACCTGAGCAGAGGGTGGAGCTACCTGCATAGTGGTTGGGGCTGCGTGAGTAGTGAGCGGTGCTGAGTAGTGGGTGGAGTTACCTGAGCAGAAGGTGGGGCTACTGGAGTAGTGGGTGGGGCTACCCGAATAATGAGCAGGTGACCCATGTAGTGGGTGGGGCTTCCTGAGTAGTGGGTGGGGCTACCTGAGCGGTGGGAGGAGCTACCTAAGTATTAGGTGTGGCTACTGGAGCTATCTGGGCAGTGGGCGGGGCTACCTAAGTAGTGGGTGGAACTGCCTCAGCAGTGGGCAGGGCTACTGGAGTAGTGGGCAGGGCTACCTGAGTAATGAGCGGTTATCAGAGTGGTGGGTGGGGCTACCCGAGAGGTGGGTGGGGCTACATGAGTAGTGGGCGGGCCTATCCGAGTCGTGGACGGGGCTATCTGAGTAGTGGGTGGACAGGGCACCATAGTGGTGAGATGTTATCTGCCTTGCCTGCTAAACAGGAGGTCGTGGGTTCGAACCGGACCCTGATGCCTGTGTAGTGTAGTAGAACGACACTACTGTATTGGCTCGGTATGGGGGCTGTCGGCAGTTGTCACGGAGGTCGTGTCGGGCCGTGACACTCTGTGTGAACCCAACAGGACACGTGACCGGATAAAAGCGGGCCAGGGGCCCCAGGGGGGGGGGGGGGGCGTGGCCTGGGGCAGAGCCAGCCATGCCGGAGTGGTTATAAGCGGGGTGTGGATGGAGAGCTGTGCTGTTCTGGGCTGTTCTGGACTGTTCTTCTGGGTCATCTCTGGGATGAAGCTCTCCGGTCTCCGCTAGTGGACCAGGCAGCGTGTTGGGCTGTCCTGGTCCAGTGATGTAGTATCCCCGTGTGTTGGTTAAGTTAGGAAAGGTGGCTACCACCTTAAGTCGTTGTGTTAAGTGTTAATTGTTATGTTACCTAATAAATAGAATTGCCTCCAAAGTTCCAGTGTGCGCCTGAATTTAACCCACTACACCTGTATACAGTCGACCCTTCCACATCGCGGGGATTTTGGGGCGCAGGCCCCCCCTTGATCTGGAAAAAAGCTTAAAATGTTTTGGTCTCCTTGGTCCCCTTGGCGAACGAAGCGGTACAAACAGATACGAGAAACGCGAGATACAAAGATCACTGCGAGATATCAAGTGAGAGGCTGCCATAAACACGCGTGGTGTCCTCTAAACCGCAGTTCTTTTCGCAAACTAACTTTTAAAAAAATGTAACTTCAAAAAATGGTGTATATTTATGGTTTGTGTGTCTCGCGCGTGACGTCACTCCAAATGAGGCCAACCCCCCTCATTAATATTCATGAACAGGTAGGGTCCTCTACATGGACTCCCCCCGCCTCATTAATAATCATGAACGGGTGACGTCACCCCACATGCCGCACCTCTCATTAATAATCATGAGCGGGTGACGTCACTCCACATACCGCACCCCTCCCTTCATTAATAACCATGAGCTGAACAATTTTCTATTGAATATTTCAGATTTACTGAAATATACGCCCGTCCTTGGAGGGGCAAACAAGCTAGTTGAAATATTAAATACATGAATTTTATCCAGTACTGTACATATAATTTATGTATTTGAGTGACTAAACTTTTTGCGTGTCGTCTGCGGCTTTCGCAAAACTCCCAAAAACTCCCAAAAAATGCCAATTTCATTTCTTATTCTAGATTTGAAGCTTTCGTGACTGCAAGGATTCATATTCTTAGGTTTTTTCGATAAAGTAACGTAGGTAAAAAATTAAAATTAATAAAAGTAAAATAAAAATAAAAATAAAAAATCACGACGTTTCAGAGGCAACACAAGCTTCTGTCTTCAGGTGGAACCGTCACAGCCCGACGGCTGTATCAAGTTAATGAGAGATTACAAGAGATACCACTCCGTATATATGTGTAGTGGTGATACGCGCTGGGATTAGGGATCGTATGCCAGCGCGTAATGATTGGCTGTGTATGTGGTGACGCGCGCTGACGGTGGAGGATCAGGGGTCAGCGCGGGGTCGTGGGTTACGGGGTACTGATTGGCTGTGTGCCGGTGACGCGCTGAGAGGGAGTGATCGGGTGGCAGCGCGGTGTGATTGGTGGAGTAGTGTTAACACGCGCTGGGGAAAACGGATCGTAGAGAGAGTGCGTCGTGATTGGTTCACTAAGGAACGATGCTCACGTCGACGTCCGCATCAGCTCTGTCTCTCGTGAGCAGGGGCTATAAAAGGGGATGCACACAGGCGTAAGGGCAGTATGTAACCAGCGAAGAATGAAGACGGGGATGAAGACATAGGGCCCTGCGGTACCTAGTCCCGCTGTCCTAACGGGACCGGGACTCTGTGTAACCCAGAGGCGAGTGTAGTGTGTGTAGCCATAGGCATAGGGTCTACACGAGCCGAATGCATTGTGTGTAGCCAAAGGCATAGGGTCTACACGAGTCAAGTGTATTGTGTAGCCAGAGGCATAGGGTCTACACGAGTCAAGTGTATTGTGTAGCCAGAGGCATAGGGTCTACACGAGTCAAGTGTATTGTGTGTAGCCAGAGGCATAGAGTCTACACGAGTTAAGTGGAGTGTATAGTCCAAAGGATAGAGACCACCCGTTGTATTGTGACACGTCAAGATTTAATAAAAGTGTGTTACCCGTCAAGAAGTTCCTGCCGTCAATTCAAATACTTCATATGGTTGAGGGGGGAAGGGCCAGGGACGGCACAGTTTTTTTATTAATATGGTAAGGTGAGGCTTAAGACTAAGAATAGACTGCATAACAAATGACTGAGCCTTTGTTATGGAGAGGTGCGGTTTGTGACTACGCATAGCTTACATAACAAATGCTGTAAATGAGACCGAGCCTCTGCCATGTAGATGGTAATAGGCTACATAACAAAAGACTGAGCCTTTATTATGGAGAGGTTCGGTTTGTGACTACGCCTGGCCTACATAACAAAAGTGTGAAAAAAAGAAAGCTAAACCTGGTAAAACAAAACTGGCTGTCTATCAGTTCCCTGTAATAGTTGTCTGTCAAATAAGATGGTCCAAATAAGTGTAGTTAAATCTTTTTGCATGGTTAATCACATCTTTCCAATGATTACTCAGTTTGTAACCATCATCACGGTTGAAATTATGTCTGTGTTTGTATATTTATATGGCTTCGTGTACAAACCTTTGATGGTAGCCAGGAGGTTTGCAGAGCACCTTGGTCTCGGAAAAGACAATTTCATGAGAGCCCACAGAGTTGTAGCAATGATCGGCAACGGCCGAAGAATCAGTTCTGTCTTTTCCGAGACCAAGGTGCTCTGCAAACCTCTTGGCTACCATCAAAGGTTTGTACACGAAGCCATACAAATATACAAACACAGACATAATTTCAACCGTGATGATGGTTACAAACTGAGTAATCATTTGAAAGATGTGATTAACCATGCAAAAAAGATTTAACTACACTTATTTGGACCATCTTATTTGACAGACAACTATTACAGGTTACTAATAGACAGCCAGTTTTGTCTAACCAGGTTTAGCTTTCTTTTTTTTCACACTTTTGTTATGTAGGCCAGGCGTAGTCACAAACCGAACCTCTCCATAATAAAGGCTCAGTCTTTTGTTATGTAGCCTATTTACCATCTACATGGCAGAGGCTCGGTCTCATTTACAGCATTTGTTATGTAGGCTATGCGTAGTCACAAACCGCACCTCTCCATAACAAAGGCTCAGTCATTTGTTATGCAGTCTATTCTTAGTCTTAAGCCTCACCTTACCATATTAATAAAAAAGTGTGCCGTCCCTGGCCCTTCCCCCCTCAACCATTATATATACGGAGTGGTATCTCTTGTAATATCTCATTTACTTCATTTCTTATGCCAACCCCTCGATATATCGAAACCGCGATGGGGAAAGTCGCGATGCAGAAGGGTCGATGGTGCTATGAACCCACCGTTCAAACACTCGTTTGAAAAAGAAATTGACGGGCATGTAAAATATTAAATCCACTTTAAAATGAGTCTGAGCTACTCACTGTGGTTTCGTTATAATTAGATGTTGCTGTTGAGAGCCAATGACAGAGTTCATCAGCTGATGCTGCGGTATCGTGGGTACTACGCGGTTACCATGAGAACCTCCTTCTCACCTTTCGTTTGTCGTGCTCCACCTTCAGAGTGACGAGCTCGTGTTCCCGATGATCCAACTGCCGGTGGGGCGCGACGTGGGTCATACAGAACGACGAATCACACTTTAGGCAAATCTTCACTGCGGGCTTCCTGTAATGATCGCAGCAAACAGCAGAAGCAGCAGAATCGGCAGCCATAAGCTCAGCCACTCGCAGCTGCTCGATGAGGTTGGTGAGCGTCACGTTCTTGCTCAGCTTGGGCCTCCGAGGGAAGGTCACTCGGCACTGCGGGCAGGAGAAGGACTCTGCCGCATTCCAGGCGTCCTCCACGCACTTGAGGCAGAACGAGTGGCCGCAGCTGAACGTGCAGGGGCAGCGGAAGGCGTCCAGGCAGATGGGGCAGGTCAACTCCCCTGGTACCTCGCTACCACTGGGAACTGCACTTGCCATGGCCCAATGGCTTCACTCAGAGACGGGCGCTGGCTGTAGCTCAGGCAGTCTCTGGCTGGAGCTCAGGCAGTTGATGGCTGTAGCTCAGGCAGTCTCTGTCTGTAGCTCAGGCAGTCTCTGTCTGTAGCTCAGACAGTCTCTGGCTGTAGCTCAGGCAGTCTCTGTCTGTAGCTCAGACAGTCTCTGGCTGTAGCTCAGGCAGTCTCTGTCTGTAGCTCAGGCAGTCTCTGTCTGTAGCTCAGGCAGTCTCTGGCTGTAGCTCAGGCAGTCTCTGTCTGTAGCTCAGACAGTCTCTGGCTGTAGCTCAGGCAGTCTCTGTCTGTAGCTCAGGCAGTCTCTGTCTGTAGCTCAGGCAGTCTCTGTCTGTATCTCAGGCAGTCTCTGTCTGTAGCTCAGGCAGTCTCTGTCTGTATCTCAGGCAGTCTCTGTCTGTAGCTCAGGCAGTCTCTGTCTGTATCTCAGGCAGTCTCTGTCTGTATCTCAGGCAGTCTCTGTAGCTCATGCATTCGCTGTCTGTTTCTCAGGCAGTCGCTGGCTGCGTCTGAGATGCTAACCGAGGAACAAGCCACGTAAATAGGTGACAAGGAAGAAGGAAGTCTTCCAGTTTTATTGGCATATCACGAGGCGTGCTCTGGAATGTGTTGACGTGTGAGTGAGTACAGACGTCTCCACTCCAGGGGTGGCTTAAAAAAGAAGACTCGGATCACCTCGTCTCAAATACTCATCCTCATTCACCTCATCACAACTCACCTCACCAACTAACCTCACCTCAACTCGTCTTAGCTGAACTGTCAGGAGAACGCTGCTAGTAAACTCGTTGCTCCCTGCCGCTCTACTCCACGACATTGTTGTTGTTCTTTGGTTCTTTCGATAAAGTCACGTATGAAGATAAAATAATGAATTAATTAATAGCATACTACGACGTTTCGATTGCAACACAAGCAATAATCATCAGGTATAAAAGAAATACAGTAGCAACACAAATCTAACCAGAAAACTATAGACAGACATATAAGCAGACAGATATAGTTTTTTGCTTAGATTTTTGTTGCTATTTCTTTTATACATGATTATGATTGCTTGTGTTGCAATCGAAACGTCGTAGTATGCTATTATTTAATTTATTATTTTATCTTCATACTTGACTTTACCGAAATAACCAAACAGTAATCCCTGCAGTCACGAAAGCTCCAAATTAAGATTGATTGATTGTTGTTGTTATCTTCGTCTTCCGGCTTCACTTTATTTCTTTTAAGTTTAACACTTTAAACTACTTCATGAAAATAATGTATTCCTGTCTCAAAGTCGCGATGCAGTTGTCGAGCTGTGACACACCGGTGGGAGTTGCCGTGTATAACTCGGTCATGGGGCTGCGGCTCAGGGTCCAGTTTATGGAGTCACAAACCACCGGGCGAGGCCCTTTGCTGAACCCGGCACCGTTAAACGCTCACGTGGGCGGGGGGCAGGCGCCCCAGGGGTAGTCTGGCCGTAACACATCAACATCAGCGCGTAAAAAAAAAATAGGACCTTTTTTTGCTGGTATCAAAGTGTGAGAAAATAATAATGATAGGTTTTACCCTTTCTGGCAATAAAACAGGAGTTGTTTTCAGATGTTCAAACACCAAATAAGTTTGTGTAGTTAATGCAGACTTTATTCGTTGCAAAAGGCATCCATTTTGTGTATGAACATCTTAACACCTCATGGGACCTCCCATGCCAGTATTAAAATATACGAATAAGTGTTACCCTTTCTGGCAACAAATCAGTTGTGTTAAGATGTTCAATCACCAAACAAATACTTTTGGAAGGAATAATGTCTTCATTAACCACACAGTACTTGTGTTTAAGATCGTGTAGATATATAAATGTGTAGTTAAAACCCGCCACCACCCGACACAGCCAACTAGTAAGTGTTGTCACGTCAACAGAACATGCCAATTCGTCACTAGTCCAGCACACCTGTGTGTTGGAGAGCCAAGCCACAACATCTACAATCTGAGTACGACGTTTCGTCCGTAATTACAACTAGCTTCATCAGGCGACAGCCAGATTTGTAGAGAAGTCTAACTGTTTAGCTCCTTATTTAGAGGCGTAGATGTGGTGACCACACTTTTGCGCTCTTGCACAAAGTGGGGGGCGGGGGGAGATTAATGAGACAGCATAAGCTCGTGTGTCACACTGTTGGATGGTTTCAGGAGAATTGCCGCATCTGGGTCGGCCGAATGCAACTGCTTCCGGTACCGCAAGGGAACCAACATCTCTATGCCCAGCGGTGATCTCTACTGACTCCCTCACCAATGCCTGAATGGCGACATTGCACTCGCCTCCCTTGCAACAGGATCCATAAAAAAATATCCGCTGCCCCGACGGCATCCATTACACATCTACTGCGTCAATTTTTGAGGGCATTTTATTCCAAAAGTCGTTGTTCCACAAGCATGGGATAGCCTGCGTTCTAGAAATAACAACGGCCCCTTAAATAACCCAATTCTTCATTTCATTTATCATGCTGTATACAATTTTATAATTGCTGTAAAGCGCCTTCGTAAATGTGCTATATAAATGTCATTAAGATAAGAACCGTGATTGGAACAGCCAAACATCCCCAAACTATCAATTTTGATTGAGAAGCCCTTGAATATGTGGAGTATTTCCCTCTTGACACCTCCATATCGTATCCATCCTGCTGTATGTGGGCGCATGGCAGCGTTATTGTTTCGTGCATTCATGAATCATGCGTTAAGTTTGTCTCCTTTGAGCAGGGGATGTACTGTAAGGTAGAAGTGACAGATGTCTCGAGGTACACCACAATCAGCTGTCGCTTAAATTAACCACATACTGTATAAGCATTTACTGCTTCTACCGTGGTATTGTATCATCAAGGTAACGTGTTACTGATCCTACATGTTTCAGTGGTAAGGACGATGCTGATGATTATGAACACGGATTGAATGATACAATTTGGAAAATGACAAAACTGATTGTCTCACATTTTCTTAATCAAAATAAGAGATGAGTTGCGCAACCAAATCACTAGAAATTGTGCGATCTCGTAACCTGCAGTTTCTTTTGCCAAAATCTGTGCGAGTAGTTGCACAACATAAGACAAGTCTCAGTGACTAACATGTCTGCCCCCTGTTCTGGTTACTACGACTCCTCGCCTGCATCTGGATTGTAACTCTTTATCGCAATTCAGAACTGTGCAGCGTGTGATGATGCGATACGTTGATATGAATCTCTAAGGAGATGCTTGAAAGTAGTCTCGTTACACTGTGAGCAAAATGTTGCAGATACGTCCATGTAGAAGCGATTCCGTTGCATACACCCAAGTTGCCAAGTTGCATGCAAATGATTGCTCTGGTGTCGACGTAACTTAACTTACGTCAAGTTGTGTTTTTTTTCACAGAAAACAATTCGTACCGATTTGGACAGTTGGCAATGTACGTTGCGAAACAAGTTGAACACACGTTCGTGAATTCTTGATTCCGTATCCTAACCACAATGCAATATGCTGTCCGTGTACAGCCCTTTTGTTAATCCACTGCGGGATGAAGGCCGCTGCACGCTGTGCGGGTTGTGGGGATTATTTGACTACGTTTCAGGGTATAGAAATAGAACGGTCGTGTGGTACGGGTAATCATTTGAGGAATTACCTCTCCGCTTAAGGATTGGAACGGCAACACAAAGTTGGGACAGAATGAGGATTTTTATTGAAATGTTTGTGGTATACCGTCACGTGTCTGACTCACTTGGGTCTGAATCATTGGTGGATATGTGAAAAAGTAGGATGTTATGTGAACGTTTTAAGAAACAGCCAGTTGCATTTTTGTACGCAAAAATAGGTTACTCGGCACGAATAAAGTGCAATCTTTTAAAAGTCTGGAAATGCTTTATTATTCTTCGGAGATAATAGGCTGTTTGCAAGACTAAGAATACGGGACTGCATGCCATAAGGTAAGGTTTATGAACACCTTTATAATGTGACCCTTGCACCCTGCACAGCTACTGCTTCACTGAATGTGGGCATTTTAGTTAGGGCGGACGTTGTAAGATTGATTATAGACCAATCTATATTCTTTCAACAGTTACTAATTTTTTTTTACTTTAATCACGAAGAGACGGATACCTAAAACTCACCATCTCCCATACAGTAAACAGTCTGCTTTCCATGAGGATTACTGCGCCACCACAGCTTTTATGGATCTATTAAAATGTTTTTCAGTAACCTGCATGAAGGCCGCTACTGCTGTGGACTATTTCTTGCCTCGTCTAAAGCGTTTTGAAACTCTGGACCATGGTATTCTACTCACAAGACGCAGTCAACTAGAATTGTCAGACAGTACGATTAAATGGTTTCATAGATACATCTCAGACCTTTATCTAAACGGTACATCGTCATAAAATCTCGTCCATAAATTTAAAAATAACAAAGGGCGTTACACAAGGCATGGTGGCTATGTGAGGGCCGTTGGCCCCCGGGGTCGCCCCCGCCTGCATCCCCTATTCCGGTTGCGTTACCGCACTGCCCTAATACCCGCTAGGGTTTCGCCGGCATTCGAACGTGACGCCCCTACTGTTACAACCTCGCGCAACGCTCCCACGCTGCGAGCATGTGTACGCACAGCATCATCAATCAAACCCCATACTCCCCCTCACGCAGCTTCGCGCAGCACTCACTCGCTACGAATATACGTATGCCCGTCTACAGCCCTGAGCAGTACTCACCTCCACGCCGAATAACCACGTTACCAATCGCGCACCTGTATCCTTTACGTAGTGAACGTTCGCGCACCCACGCAGCTCCACACGCGACACCCACTCTTGCGCCGCTCTGCGCAGCGCTCCCACGTGGCGAGCCGCTGTATAAACAGCACCACACGCGTTCACACTTCTCAGCGAGATCACACGAGGCCACGATCAGCTATTAATGATTTATTGTCTGCTACCTGGGACTTGTTGTTGAGTCAGTATGAATCGACGAGGCTGGCCTACGCTGATACCTTTATGCCTATTCCCGATTTATCTGCTTATGATCCTAATTCACCTTTTTACTCACGGTTAAGTGCCCACGGCGGTCCGTTGATCCCGTGGTCGTAGCGTACCTCGATGCGTCGCATGGACGTCCGGGTCGCTGGGCTGGAGAGCGTCTCGTGGCCTGATGCTGGAGTAAGAGAGAGATCTCCCCGTTTTCGCCCCCTTTTTATCGTCCCTACATCAAAGGGATGCTGCTCCGCCTGTGGTCGTCCCCTCCCAGTTTTTCTTTAACAATGGGCGCACGCCCGTTAGGGCGCGTGCGGCGGTTCCGGGCGCCTTTGCTATGCTAATCATATGTGCTGCGTGTTGCGGCGTTTATTCTAATTAATCCCTTTCTCATGCATGGTGCCTTGGTTATGCACATTATGCAGCGGCGTCCATCACAACGGCCTGCTGTGGAAGTTAAGCGCGGAGCCTCCGCATGTCTCCACCACTTGCCCCATCAATTGCGCACTATGCGCCTGAGTCGCCTCTTTGATTATTTGCAATTCCAGCTTTATCCTTTAATTTCCCCAACAATGGCACCTACGCACTCGAGCCTGCTTTGGCACGCTAAACTATGCCGCCCCGTCCCTCCTCTGCCTGTCTCGTCGACCCGTGGGGGTGTGTGTGGGGGATGCGTTTCAACCGCGGTGGCCGAATGCCCTTCGCCGCGACCATACAATCTTAAGGCCGGTCGCAGTGCCGCGGTGCGAAGTAGCGTCGGGGGAGGTCGTCCAATTCCCTTGTCGCCGGAAACCGTGAAAGTTAATCCCGATAAGGGCTTCTCGGATAAAAACCGGTCGGCGAGGTGACCTCCCCTCGGAGCTCTATGGGAGGGGGAAATGCGTGCGGCTGTGTTTATGTGAGGTGAGGTGAGGGGGACGCGGGGTTGGCTCAGCCGCTTGGTGGTGGCGAGGTCGTAGATGGGGCGCCTGCTGAACGGCTTTGTGGCGGCGGCATCACAGCTACTGTGACGCTGCGTACAAATCAGCTACTAATCTAACACTTAACAGATTAAACCCCATTTATCATTCGGATCTTCGATTTGTATTGGATCTACCATACAGCACCCACTAATGTGACCTCGACATTAAATACAATCTCATATCACTTGATGCAAAACGATTAAAAAAACCTTATTTGCAAATATGTGCTTTAATTAGCTAAATCATAAACCCTACTGTCAATAAAAAGAAACCTAAGACGTACATCTAATTGCCTGTGAAGTATGCCAACAATGAGAATTGGAATGGGTGACAAAGCCTTTGCCATTGCAGCACCAACGTTTTGGAACAACCTTGTTTCCTCCCTTAACATCATACATCTTCCTTCAATAAATGTTCTGAAGCAGAAGATTCATGCTGTACAAAGCCTCATTTGCAAATGTGATTGGAACGTTGATCCATACCCATGTACCGATAGTTCAATATTCATGTGCAGTTGTATCCAGGGACTGCCGTGTTGTCTTGGTGTGATCTGGGACTGTTCTTACTGCCTTGCTCACGCTTGAATTTAGTTTTGAAAATCGGTAGGAAGTATAATACGATTGCAATTTGTAGTTATAAACTTAGTTTAATGAGTATTTATCTAGTTTCAGTGATTTGCACACCTTTCCTATATTTTACACCCCTATCCGTTGTTTGGACTGTTTGTTATTATAACTTTCTGACCCACCCCTACTGGACATCTTTGAAAAATATCTTAATAAATCATTGGATTCCTCGAGTTTAAAGATGCTGATTCAAATTCTATGTATGTATGTTGAACTTATTTCGCACCGTACATAGCCAACCGTGCTAATCGGAGGTGCGGGGTGATGACAACAAACGAAACAGAACCATCAGTTCTAAAGAAATTATTTGCAATGTTCGAGTGATCCAGACGCCAAAATTCCTGCCCTTTAAGAATGCTTGTCTGAAACAAAACTGGCTGCATTTAAACCTGGGCAAGACAGAGTACAAGATAGTTGGCTCAAAGCAGCGTCTGAGAGCGTGGCAGGGCCACATCGATCATCCACTGATTAGGAGAGCTCGCCCTCTCCGTGTGTCCAAAGTACACAACCTCGGTGTTCTGTTCGATCAGAGCTTGACCGTGCGCTCACAGCTCATAGCTACGTTCAGACACTGGCGGAGCCAGTGGGGGGGTGGGGTGGCACGTGCCCCCACAATGATCCGATAGAAATCCTAATTTAGATCGGATCATTGGGGTTTATTAGTAGTAATAAATCGGCTTTTTGCGACCCCCACTGCCACTGTGAGATGACAGGACAATAGTCTTAGTCCATAATTGGTAATAAGTAACGTTAAAGCAGTTATAAGTGACTCAGAATTGTGCGCAGTTGCGTATACAGTACACGACTTCCCTGAAGGCATTCACCTTCAGCGAGCGCGATGCCGATCACACACGGTTCGAATTCGACCCACGATCGATGGCTGCGCCATCGCCGCACACGCGTCGAATAAAAAGCAAGGGACAAGTCCTTACTTACTAGCAACTACTATCATTTTTCATTGCTGGAGGGGTTGCCCCCCTACCTGAAAAACCTGGCTCTGTCATTGCGTTCAGAGTAGAGGGTTGTGCATGCTCCTCTCTGCCCCAGACCTGTAATCATTAGTCCATGCCTTTGTCTCAACACGCCTAGATTATTGGAACGCCCTCTGTGCAGAGCTTCCACTTGGACTAGTGCAAAGGCTCCAGTTAGTGCAGAATGCAGCTGCCCGGATGATCCGGCTGGTTAGCCGCTTTGAACATATTACGCTCCGCGCAGCTTGCAGCGGCTACCGGTCCGCTTCCGTGACGACAAACCCAGGAACCATGGTGGGGTGGACCGGGAGGAGTGGGCTGCCGGTGTTGTTTATAGAAGTCGTCGTTACGTCGTGTGGGACGCCGCGACGGGTGGCCCTGGGTAGACGAGATAGCCCCCCAACACGTGGACACGAGGGTGAGATGGGTATACAGACGCTGTCTCCCCCCTTGCAGTATTGGGAGTTTGTTCGGGGCGCTGTTTTTTTCCGGTTCCGTCTGTAACACGGTGGTTGTTGTTGTTTTTTTCTGACAATTTCTCTTTGCTCCGTTATTCTTCCCTGTGCTTACTTTGTCGTTTTTGTTATTTTAGAGATCCCCCCCAGCCCCAGGTCACTCTTACCAATGAGACTCCTGTCCTGATCTCCCGAGTTCCACACCCGGTTACATATGCGATACACTTGAACTCACTCACTCAATCATTTACCCACTCACCTATCCTCTCACTCACTAACTTAACCACTGACCCACTCAGCCACTCACCCACCATCTCACTCATCCATGCACTCAATCGTTCACTCACTAATCTACTCAATCACGCACTCAATCATTTACCCACTCGCCCTCTCACTAACTCAAACACTCCACCAATCCACTCACCCATGCACTCACTCACCCACCAACCATCTCCCAAGTCTACTCACCATCTCACCCAATCAACCATGCACTCCCTCAAATCGGGAGGAGGAGGGATATGGTGGTAATGGTCGTGATAAGGGTGACGGTGGGAATGATGGTGATGGTGGTTTTCACTGTGAGGATGATAGTGATGCTGATGGGGTGATGATGATGATAGTGACGATGATGTTGGTGATGGTGATTATGATGGTTTTGGTGGTGTTGATAGTAATGATGATGGTGATGCCGTTGGTAATAATGATGATGATGGTGGTAGTGATGACTTTGGTGATTATGACTCTCTCTCTCCCCCTATATCACATTCTCTCCTCTCCGCACCCTCTCCTCACCCTTCACCCTCGCCATCACCCTCATCGCTCACCCGCCACCATCCCTCACCTTTCCCTCCATTCTCCCCTCACCCTCACCTTACCTCTCCCTCCGTTCCAACTTACCCTCACTTTCACTTCACCCTCTCCTCACCATCCCCCTCTGCTCTGTTTCTTGGGTTTCTATCTCTCATCATCCTCAGGATGCACGACTCAGATCCACGATCTTCAATGGTTCTTTAAAATACGCCACCCACATCCCAGGGTAGAGAGGCTGCAAGAATCTCTGCCGAACCTCGTGGATCACCTCCATGGAGTCGGCGCGGTAAAACGCCAGGAGTCCCCCCTCCCAGTGCAGGTGAAGCCCGATTCTGCCGGGGGAGGGGGCCCCCCTTACCGACAGTGCAGTCTTCACTCCACCATGAAACACTGAGAAGTTGTCGTCACATTTGTCTAAACACCAGGACGCGTCGCTCCCTCCCAGCAGCTGTGCAGCACCACCAACACTCCCTTTCCGTGGGATCGTCCCGTACGCGACTCCAACCCGACACCACCGCGTGTCCCCCACGTCCACCTCCCAGTAGTGGTGGCCCGACGAGAAGCTCTCACAGCACAGGGCTTGTGCATAGTAATCAAACCGGTGTGGGTGATCGGGGCGACCCTGGGAGGCACCGGTCCGCGTCATCTTCCTGAGATCCGAGGAGATCTGGAGTTGGTCATGAGCTGACTTTGTGTCCAGAGTCGGTGAGCATCCGTCTGTGACAACAGCGATAACAACGTCACTACAAAACACCATCGTCACCATTATCCAGCATCACCACCATCAACATTACCATCACCAACCATCATCATCACCATCAACAATAACATCACAAACATCACTAAGCATCCTCCCCATCAATATTATCAATGACAACAACATATACCTCACCATCACCACCATCAACACAATGAACATCAACATCATTATCGCATTAAGCAACAGTACCACCTTCATTACCACCACTAGCACCATCACAAACATTCACCACTACCATCACTACCATCACCACGATCATCACCACTATCCCCATCACCACCATCTTCATCACTATCACCACCATCACAACCATCACCACCTACATTATCACTAATCTCACCATCATTACCACTGCCATCATCACTACCAACACCATGACCAAACCCATCACCATTCCCATCACTCACATTATCAGTAATATCAGCATCATTACCACTATCCTCATCACGACCACTATCACCATCATTATGACCAGTACCAGCATCAGGAACTCATTTGAGGTTGAAACTGCCTAGTATAGGCCCAGCACTGGATCACATATCTCTTGCCATTGATGTTAGCCATGGCTGGTAATCAAAGCTAGGTAACTGGGTTCGTAGTGCAGTGTGCTAACCACTATGCCAATGCTCCCCCCATGCACAAATGCACAGACATTCACAGGCACACACTCCATCTCAACATCACAATTACCTCTATCTCTTATTGCTGATTATTTACCCAAGAACACCACACTGAGTCTCATGGCTCTGTTCGGTAGGGTCCTGGAATGGGATGTGAACAAAGACTAATATGCCCTGTGTAGCCTTCACAGACTGTTGGGACAAGTGCTGCTCATGAGCGTATATGAAGGCTGGCATGGCACACGAGGTGGGTGGCCCGACCACCTTTGTCTCCTAGTGGCGAGTTTGTTTACACACCGCATCAGCTTCCTGGATGTAAACAAAGACATCCCCCGTGTAGCCTTTACAGACTGATGGGTCAAATCAGGACCGTTGAAGGCATGCACGACACACGAGGGGGTGGGTGGCCAGCACTACGCATGACCGCCTTTGTCTCCCTAGTGGTGATGTCTATAAAACACCAGGTAATTATTTGAGGCTGAGTCGACCTCGTGCACACACAACTGGATAATTTATTGTCAAGATGGCCCCATCACCCATGATTTACACTGAATAACTCACACAGGAGTTTGACTGCAGTTGTCTCCAGGACTTTCAGTGAGGCAATGTCCTCTTGGTTGGGAGCTGAGGGTGGAGCTGCTGTAACCCTCCCTGTCCTGTGAAAGCAGAGCAGACATGGCTGCTGTCTCAAATAGATCATCGTCACTCACAGCTCCATCACAGACACTCTTCACAGCATCTTCACGCGTGGGATCGTCACAGCTCCATCACACAGGCACTCATCAAACAAAGCATCATCACTCATCTCACAATTACAGCATCACACATAATTACTATTACGACACATAGCATCATCACATACAGCACCATCACACAGCATCACCACACACAGCATCCCCACAGCCAGTGTCTCACTGCGCCCCACACTCAGTCCCATGTTGTCGTGTGTGTCGAGTCGTGAGTGATAGTCGTCTGTACCTGCGCGTCTCCTCCAGGTGCCCCTGTGGGAGAGAGAGAGATGCGTTACTGTGATTCTACCTTCAATCCCTTGTGATCAGTGGAGTTCCCACTGCAACACAGTGGAATATAAACCCCAGAGTCTTGGCTTATGATCCTATGATCACAATACTGACTTACGGGGAAAATGTTTCAGAGTGAGACCGCTTGATAGTCAACTAAAAACTACTATTTTTATTTTTCCGGGTAAGGCCCACGGAGCTGTATAGCTCTGTAGCGACCTGGCCACACATGATAGCTCAACGAAGTGGTTCATCACGTGGAAATTTATAGCAGCCCAATACTCTAAACGCACGTTTTCAAATGTGGAGTGAAAAACTGGAGGACCTGGAGAATAATCCATGTGACCATGGAGGGAAACATGAAAACTCCAAATATATAAGGAAGTCAGGTTGGGGATGAAATCCACGACCTCCGGTATACCAGGGGAGGTAGTTAACATCTCGCCACCCCCATGAGGACCAACATTAATTTGCAGGGCAAATATTTCAGTGAGACCGGTTGATATTGATCTGTGTTGAGAGTAACTTCAGACTGGTAATATCTGGAGTTACCAATGCACATGGTGCAGGTCTTGTAGAAGTGATGTTCAATACACAATGATAGCATTAATAATTATATGAGACCGTATTTATTTTAGCATCCCTGATATGAACAATCAAGGTAGCGCATCCACGTGGAGGTACACAAGGTAAGAAACGGAGATGACATCGGGTCGTGAGCAGGAGCTGGTGGATTGTTGCATCGCGGCATCATGAGATGTGGCAATGTATTGGGGAGGCCTTCATCAATAAGTGGATAGATTATGGCTGATGATGATCATGAATACCGTGTACAATGTTGTTCTATGGTTGATTTAAAAAGTGAAATTCCATTAACAGTTAGTTTAAATTCACAATGAAACAAACTTAATGGGAATCTGTTAAAGGACGGGAGAGAGAATTAATTTAACTGAGAAAATATGAGCTGGCCTTCCAAATGGCAGCCACTGGAGCTGCGATGCGAGTCCATGAGTGGAGCTTTGTTCTCAAGCCCAGGAGCCTCCCTCTGCTGCTCCTGGTGAGAGGGCTCTGTGCCAATAGCGACACTGTAGACTCATCGCTCACCTGCAGGAATGCGAGCGAGTCCCTCTCCTGCGCTAGGGCCTGCAGGCGAGTGGCTGCTGCCTGGAGCTCGCTGATCTCGCGCTGGTAGTGAGCGATCTTCTTCTCGATCTGGGACAGCTGCTCGCGCCCTTTCTGCTCCGCTTGCTCTAAAGCCGCCTTCTCCTCCGCATCCAACGCTGCTCTCGTGCGGGCGAATCTGACGGAAATTGAGGCCTTTTCATCTGTCATGGACCCCTGCAAAGATAAATAAATGCCACCTCTGTTCATTAAATGTCTGGTTCTTTGTGAAATGACATTCAGGTCGGTGTGACTCGAGTGCAGCTGTGAAGGTGTGCAGACAGTGATACGAGTCTGCAGCATTGAGGCCTCCTTCTTCCTCTTCCTCCAATAATGCCGCTGTGCATTTTCACTACAACACGATTCGCCATAACGGGTGGGCGCTGTGAGGCATTGAAATCAAAGACCATCGTGTGTACATTTAGCGTCTGTGCCATTATCATTGCGCAAGGCTATCAGGAAGCGTGCTTGTTTACTTTTGCATGAAGCAAAGGGAAATCTGTAATTTGCCTTCACCAAATACATTCTCAATGAGTATCTTTCAATAAAATATTGACATGGGACGATAGGCCAATTCCTCTCTAAATTAATGTTTTGATTGTGAGAACAAACCCACCACACAGAGGCGTAGCTAGGGGGGGGGGCAGGGGGGTACATATGTCCCCGGGCGCCAAGGTAAAGGGGCGCCAAAATGAGGCTTACGTTACATTATAACTTATTGCGGCGGGCGCGGCAGCCTGAAACTGCTGCACAAATCTACACCTCAACCTAAAAGGTATATATCCCGCCACACAGCCTACATGTCATGTAATTACATTTTGGTACGCGCGCCTATTAAGAACTTACATGGAAGAACGTCCCAAACAACAAACAGGTGCAGTCTTTCAGCCTTAGTCAGTGGCATGTGTTTTTGGTGGCGGAAACTACGACATGATGATGAACTTGTTGACAGTAATGGGGAAGATGAGATAGAAGAATCTTCTGATAGAGAAGCTGAAAATACTCATTATGATGCTGTTCCTGCTGTACTAAGGTTTCACGATGTTGGCTACTTAGAATTTGATAAAACGACAAAGCTATCGAAAATATCACAGCCTCTTCGCAATGAAATGATTACTCTCGGATCCTTGCCTTTTCAGCACAAAGACAATCTATCATCAATATCCAGAGAACGTTCAATTACATCAGCAAGGTATAAACGCCGACTACCGAATGGAGAGGAAGTGAATCGTCGTGGCTATTATATTCACCAATCAATAAAGTTGCTTACTGTTTCTGTTGTCTATTATTTACATTATCGAGTTCAAACTCATGAGCTTCGTTTGAGTTAACAAACGGTTTCAACAAGTGGAGAAAGTCAGAAAAACTAAATTCTCATGAAAACAATCCGAGCCACCGCACAGCTTTTACTACATGTGTAATGCGGGCGTAAACGGCCTCGCGGATATGACGTCACGGGGGGAGGGGTTAGGTCACGTGGGGGAGAGGGGTAAGCTCTTAAGGGCGGTAACCGGAAGAGACGGGAGGAGAGTGTGGGAATAGAGACAGGAGGAGGCCACGCAGGGCAGAGGGTGGAGAGTGGCGAGATCGCCACGCGGTGAGACTCGGCACCGTCGGCCAGCGGTGTCCGGGCACGGGTGGAGCTGCAGCGAGAGCAGCTGTAGGACTGCACACGGGCGGAGAGACTGAGAGGGAAGCCTGCAGCGGAGCTGCATCGGGAGTGGGGAAAGGCTACGGGAGCGACGGCAGCTGTCAAGCTGCCAAGCGCGAAGGCTCTGAGCGAGGGCCGTGTGGGACAAGTTGTAAGAACCCAAATAAAGGACAACGGAGACAGACACAGTGAAAGAGTCCTTTATTACACATGGAAGGAAGCCGAACGAAGGATAATTGATGGTACTGGAATTGACGCAGTGGTTCAAGCTCAGATTCATTTGGAAAAACAACGTTGGCGAGATATATTGCAAAGAATACTCACCTGTATTAAGTTTCTGGTTTCACAAAATTTGGCACTACGTGGCCATGAGGAAAATTTGAATGCGGATGAGGATAAAAATGTTGGAAACTTTCTCGCGCTGATCAAACTCGTTGCTCAGTATGACCCATTGTTAGCAAAACAAGTATAGCACGCAGGAGAAAATCCGGGATCAGTTTCGTATTTGTCACCGGAAATCCAGAATGAATTTATCCACATACTTGCGTCGACTGTAACCAATTGTTGAGTGATATCAGGAAAAACAAGTACTACGGTATCTTACTTGACTCAACTCCTGATCTAGGACATCGGGAACAGCTTTCTCAGGTCATAAGATTTGTGGATGTGGATTTTCAAACTAAAAAAGTAACTATCGAAATCATTTTAGGTTATATCGAGATACATGCAAAAGATGCAGCAAGCCTAGAAAGAGTCATCGTCGAGAGACTGAAATCTGACAACATACCTCTAGCCGACTGTGTTATGACAATGCTGCTGTGATGACTGGGCATATATCCGGCCTTCAACAACGAATGTGACAAAAATCACAGAGCATTGTTTGTCAACTGTGACAACCACAGCTTAAATTTAGCAGGAGTACACTCAGCTAAAAAGGATCAACTTGTCGTCACATTTTTTGGAACAGTTGAAAGTATATATTTGTTTTTCTCTCGTTCAACAATTCGTTGGGAAGAGTTAAAAAAATCTGTGCCCATCACAGTAAAGCGGGAGCCTGAAACACGCTGGAGTGCACGATCAGAAGCTGTTAAAGCTATCTATGAAGGACTGGATGAACTAGTAGGGCTGCTAGACAAATTATCGGAGGACGTAACTATGACGCCTAAAACCAGAAGTGATGCAGAACAGTTACAGGCATGCGTATTACATTTTAACTACATAGTTTTATTACATTTCTGGAATGTCATTCTTGGAAAAAATTATCGTGTTCAAAAGCGCTTACAGGATCCTACTATGAATTTCAAGGAAGCAGCAACTGATCTTGAATCTTTGGAGCATGAATTTGTCAAGCTTCGTGATGATTTGAGCCAAGTTGCTGTAGAAAACGCCAAAACAAGATGCACAGCCTGGGGGATCGATGTGGACAGAAGAATTAGGCGACGTCGGAAGATTCCAGGAGAACTGGCAAGAGATGCAGGACTTTCAGCAGAAGAAGAAATTGTGCGCGTTATGAAGAGCGTATTTTATCGACTTCAACAGGAGATGTCAACACGGTTTTTACGACTAAAAGACCTGAACACAAAATTTGGATTTCTGCTGGACGTCAAAACTCTTCTATCCGACACAGATGTCGATGTAATTCCTCGAAATTGCACAGATTTTGGAAATTTCTATGACACCGACATCAATGGCCACGAACTTTTCACAGAAATAGGAGATTGCAAAATGCTGCTCAGTAACCGGAATTAAGTTCTACCAGAAACTCCTTTGGATCTTCTTGGTTTTATTGTGTATTATGGAGACGACATTTCCGAATTTTCGAATTTCACTGCAAATTTTATTAACAACTAGCGGTGAGTACCCGGCGTTGCCCGGGCGAAAAAAGCAGACATGTAGTTACACACGCAAATCCATTGATACACATGTAATAAACCTTCTTGAGATGGCTTCGGAATCAGTCCTGTTTATTTACACTTCCACAATTACACTTTACTCACACACTCTCCGTTGCTGGCAGACAACGGAGAGAGGGCAGACTTCACACCAAGTCCCCACCGCGCACGTGGCACCCAGCGCCCCCGTACGCGCGTGACTCCTGCTCTTGTCGTTCCCAAGTCTGCTCTCGATCGTTCTCTCTCTCTCTCTTAATCCCTTCGTCACGTGGTACCCCCCAGCCAATCCTCCATAGACAGCATTGACCGTTCTCGATGGTTCCCTGTCAATCCCGGGACCACGCCTCTGATCCGGCTCCCCATTAGCTGGGGCCCCGAATGGCCAAGCCAATCACCCCTGCTAACATGCCATGATCACGCAGAGGCCATGCTCCCTGTCTCAACCCTTATTGGCTACAAAGCAGGACCGGCAAGCCAATCCCCACGTGAACCCTCTATGGCTGTTATTACACGCACACATAGAGTTACAGGCACAAATGGACTCGCACATTCATACATAGACTGAACAACAACAACCGCCATTCGCCAGTAAGTGGCGGTGACGTCACCACAACGCTTGTGCCAGGCTATGTGCACCTTGAGGCCACGTAAAGTGTCGAACACCCGCTGGGAGGAGGTCACGGGGCAGACCCAGATGGCACAGGTCAACTGACTGAGACGACTGGCTGATGCACCACCTGTGCCCCCTACTGCGGCAACTTGCTGTACTTTAGCCACCCGGCACTCCGCTCATTGTTGTGAGCGTCGCTCCTCCGCCCTCCGTTATTGTTGGAGGGCGACTGCCTCCAACTGCCCAGTAGCGTCCTTCAGGAGGCTCCTCCACAGAGGCCGATCTTGACACGGCTGGTACCAGTCATCGGCAAGTTGACTCAGCTCCACGTCCTCCTGTACCACATCACTCCATGTCTTCTCTAGCCCGTGCCGGGCAGTTTAGCCCCCTCGATCTGGCCGAACAAAAGATGTTTAGGCATGCGGTGTCTGGCCATGCGGGCTACATGACTCAGGCAACGCAGCCTTACCTGGCGGAGGAGCTCACCGATGGGACTTAGTCCACATTTTTAAAGGATTTGTGAGCTCCTCACACAATACAGCCTGGTTAAATCCAGGATGGATCGTAGGCAGGCCATTCTAAATGTTTCTAACCGGCGAAGGTGTTCCATTAGGGGGGCGCAAGCGTAGAGAAGGGAGGGAATGACCGTGGCCGAGAAGACCTGGAGTTTTATGCGCAGCGAGAGACCAGGTAGCTTCCACACGGCGTAACGCAGCCGATGAAAAGATAATGGCGCTCGACTGATTTGGAGTGAGGCCTCTGCTGTTAAACCGGAGCCGGTCATGAGCACACTGGCCAGGTATGAGAATGTCGGCAATCTCTCCATAACTGCCGCATCACCAATTGTGAGTTGTGGGGGTGGATTGTTCGACGGTATAAAATACCCAGGCAGGTGTTTCGTTTTGGTGGGGCTGATGGTAAGGCCCCACCTCTTGGTGGCAAGCTCCAGATTCAGCAGCAGCACATCGAACTCCTCCTCCGAGTGAGCAGCAATTAGCAGATCATCGGCATACATAACGTGGTTGAGCAATAGGGAGCCATCCCTTGACCGCACCCGGGCATCGATCAGCCTCCCATTGTATCTGTAGCAGATGGGAATTCTTCCGGTACAGGCATTGAAGGCTTGACGAACTACGTGGTCCAAACATATGTAAAATAATGTGGGAGCCAGAGGACATCCCTGTTGCACCCCAAGGTGTAAAGGGAATTGCTCTGACTCACAGCCACGTAGTTAGACGCAGGGCCGCTCACCATCATGAAGGTCCTTAAGGATGGTGATCAGTGGGTCAGGGACTCGGAAAGCACAAAGAGCAACCCAGAGGCTAGGCCTACTGATGGTATCATAGGCCTTGAGCAGGTCAATAAAGCACATGCATGGACTGAGATGCACACATGGACCTACAGACACGCAAAGAAATGGAGTTACACTGACTAACATGGAGGCATGCACACACAGCGACTAACACACACGCACATGGACTGAGACACACACACATGGACTCACACACACAAACACATCGACTTACAGACACACACACATATGGACTCACACACACATAGACATGCACTTGAGATACACACACATGGAGTTACACACACATATCGACGTACACACATACAGGGACTTACACACATACATACATAGAGTGACACACACATTGCCGTACACACACATACACACGTGGACTATCACACATAGTGATCGACTTGAGATATACACACATGGCGTTACACACACATATATGGATGTACACACACACACCGACTCACACACAGTAATACGTGGACTTACACACACATTGACGTAAACACACATATGTACTTACACACACACATATGGACTAAGACACACACACATGGACTTAAAGACACGCATGGCTCTACACGCACACACATATGGACTCAAAGAAACACACATTGACAGGCACAGCAATCCCCGATGATGGCACAGCTATCAGTATGGCAGTACTACGTATGAGGAAATAGCGTGACGTGAGCGATGGAAACAATAGAAATGTATTGAAGAAATCACAGACTGGCAGTAGAGCCACGTAGGTAAAACATTTAAAAAGTAAAATAAAATAAAAATAAAAATCACGACGTTTCGGAGGCAACACAAGCTTCCGTCCTCAGGTGGGACCGTCACAGCCACGACTTCATACAGCTGTCGTGGCTGTGATGGTCCCACCTGAGGACGGAAGCTTGTGTTGCCTCCGAAACGTCGTGATTTTTATTTTTATTTTATTTTACTTTTTTAATGTTTTACCTACGTGACTTTACCGAAAAAACCTAAGAATATGAATCATTGCAGTCACGAAAGCTTCAAATCTAGAATTGGCAGTAGAGCGTGGCAGCGTCATAAAAGCGCAGCAAAAAAGGGAAAATTGAGCAACCTAAAAATCCAAAAAGAGTTTTGTGCACACAAACATAATTATTGTAACATGTCAACTTGTTTCATAATGGTAAACAATGAGCGTGAGTTGTTATTTGCACGCAACATCTGGCAACGTATTTGTTTAATAAAAATAAGCAATGAACGTGATACATTATCTGCACACAAACATGATTATTGTAATGTTTGTCAACTAATGTGTTTAACAATAAAAAACAATGAACTTGAGTTGTTAGCGTAAGAAGCAAGGAACTTTGTACTTACCATAGGCATGTTGAGGCCTTGTGCCATGCGTATCCCCCGTCCTGGCCTACATTGGCGAGGCGGCGGAGTTGGCACATTGCCAGGCTAGGGGCTTGGCCGCTACCCCCCCCCGCCTCCAGAATCCCCCGGGCGTGCAAGAATAATGCTATGTAAGCACAAAAATATGATCTACGGAGTCTGTACTATAAACTGGACGCATCGTGTTGGGGGGGGGGGGAGAAAGAGGACATGACACTGAAGAAATATCCGCAGCGTGATGTATGTGTTGCCTGTAAAACGCGTAAAACGAAATGTCGCCCGTGAGCTGGAGGTAACGCGCAGCACTTGATAAAGTCCGCCCCCCCCCCCCACGCAATTGGCGTCACTTGGTACGGTCGATGTCGTGCAATAAGTAAATAATGAATAATAGAAACGGCACAAATGTGTTAATTAAACTACTTTAAAGTTTACGGATGGGAAAACGGAATAGCCTATTCCCACCGCGGGACTTAGAGCGTGCCGCCCGGCAATTTTTTTATACGTGAAGGCCACCGTCCGAGAGCCAAATCCCCCGAAAGCGCGAGCGCGCGGAGACTTTTATATATAAGAGAAGATAGCAGTATCAATTGCAAGCTGTGAGCGGTCGTTCAGCAAATTGAAACTTATTTTGTCGTATTTGCGTGCTTCAATGGGACAAGATCGTCTCAACATTGGAAAAAAACAGATTTTGATTACGTGATTGACCAGTTTGCGACAGTGAAATCAAGAAAAAATAATCTTTTGTAGACTATGTCAACCAGTCTACGACAGTGGCTGAGTGAGCCATGTAATACAATTTCTATAAATTTGCTTCTTTAAATACAATGTTTCATTAAAATTTTAATTGTTATTCCTTATTCGATGTAATAGGAAAATGTGATTAAACGGGGGGGGGGGGGGGGGGGGGGGGGCGGGGGGCGCCAATTTTATAGTTCGTCCCCGGACGCAAAATATCCTAGCTACGCCTCTGCCACCACAGATGTATAAATGAAAAGAGGGGATCATGAACCCACTTGCTATACTGCCACCTGGCCAACTCAAATCCAAACTGGTTTCAGTATTATGGTGTACAACAGTCTATGTGTGATCCACCAAATTTGCCACCAGGGTATTGGATAAGAGGTATTTACTACCTCATCTGACCAATATTAATGGATGTTGAAGTGGTAAGTTGTATGCAGATATGGGAATTTTGAACTTCCACCACTGAATCAGTTCCTTATTGGAGATGAGAGCCACCTCTTTGCTCGTCTGAGCATTGAGGCGCATTGACCGTTGTGTCTTTAATCCCACGGTGTGTTCAAAGCCAATGGAAGTCCACGTTAATGGATGAGGTTATCCATACATCACAAACTCTATTCAGGGTGGAGTGACAGAGTCCGGCCCAGACGCGGTACCTGCACGTCCCTGCGAGCGGCCTCCATCTGCTTCACAGACTCCTCCACCTCCCTCCTCTTCTCCTCCACCGCTCGCGTCTCCTCTCCCACTTGTTTCTGTGAGAAAGGTCACCAGTCACCAGGGGAGACTCCACTCACTCTATAAGGGCCTCCTCTCACCTCCACTCCATTTGGACCCCTCCACAGTGCCGGTCCCAGCTCTAGTGGCCCCGTGCAGTTATGGAGGCCTTGAGAAAGAACACTGCACGGAACTATTTTCACGAGGAGATCAAATGCCTCCTGGAGCTCTGCTCAGATTTCACAGAACTTGAGTCCAGGACCCACTGACTCTGCACTGCAGAGGTTCACTTCACGTACATTCACTACCATTGGAGATTCACTGTCATGGTACTGATATTGTTCCCCCCCATAATTTGACATGATAAACTTGCTAATAAAACGTGCATTTTCTTAGTTAAGATACAATTTTAAGATCGTATATGATTTAAATATATTTCATTTTGAAATAAAAGGAAAATCCAGCCTTTATGTCAATACACTGCTGGATAGAGCCTATCCAATTTGTATCCATCAATGGGATTGTTTTGCCATAAACTTCCACCCACGTCATCGCTTTACGGCAACTCCTTCTGCAAGTTCCCAATGGTTAAGATTCACTCAGGGTCCAAGCACTAAAAACGCCTGCAGCATTCCCTAAAACATAGCCCTGAATGTTCGTTTGTCAAAACGCCAGGAGGTTGAATATACAATCGCTACAGTGATAACTACTGCAATCAGTAGTTATTAATGTAATCTCAGTAGCTACTACTGAACAGTCAATATATACTACTATAGAGTCAGCAAATAATACTGTAGAGTCGGTAGATACTACTGTAAACTCAGAAGATACTACTGTAATGCGAGCGTAAATGGGGTTGCTGCTGGGCTCTGGTCCAATCACACGGCCCGGGGTATTGGGGGGCGGAGCCTGTTCTGCAGGGCGTGTGGGAGGGGCCACCGTTCACCTTGGCTCCAATGGGAGGCGAGGTGAATGGGGGCGGAGTCAGCGGGGTAGTATGGGAAGGCTGGATCTGACGATCCGGAAGGGGAGGAGTCAGGGTCACGTGGGGGGAATGGATATAAGTGGAAGCCCGGAAGAGATCGGGGCAGTCGGGGAAGTTAAGAGTCTGAGCCACATTGGGTGGTGAGAGAGAGATCCGCGTCATCGGCCACGTGGCCAAAGAACCTCAGCACGCCGTCAGCCAGTGGTGTGCGGAGTGCGGGAGTAAAGGAGCTAATGGAGGAGCGTGCGTGGCACGTGAAAAGGAGCGTGCGCGGGGCGCGCGCAAGATGACGCTGGTCCGAGGAGGGGACCAGCGGGGTGCGGAGAAGAACCTGAATAAAAGACAAGCGGAGACCAGCAGTGCCTGACGGAGTCTTTTACTACACTACTATAGAGTCAATATATCCTTTTGTAGAGTTAAATGTTACTGCTGTAGAGTGGGCAGATACTTCTGTTGAGTCTGCTAACTACGCTAGTTACCACATAACTGTTACGACGGACCCGGGGCTACAACGTCTGCCTGGGTTCACGTCCTGGAAGACTTGTTGTGCGGAGATCGTAGACAAAGGGTTTCTTTGCCGGGATGAAGAACCATGGTCCCTCTCGAGACCTGGCTTATATTCTCTGTGGCGTGGCTGGCTCCACCACACCCAACTTCCAGAATCCTCGGGAAGGATCTGGGTCTCAATCATGTGACCCCCCTCTTGGGGCCCCTCTGTCAACTTAACTGGTCATGTATCCTCCCGAGTCAACCAGAGTGCCATGGCCTCGCACAACCTTATCCTTCAGTCGGCACCCACACACCCTGTCCTGTAGGGCCAGCACTGCACTTATGGCCTCGTGCCATCCAGCGATTTTATGCAGCGCACACCGTGCCCCTCTAGGGCCGGTACAACACCCACAACATGGTGGCATCCAGCGATGTCATTACACTACTATAGAGTCTGTAGATACTACTACAGGCATTAGATACTACTGTAGAGTCAGTAGTTACTACTATAGAGTCGGTAGTTACTACTATAGAGTTGGTAGTTACTACTATAAGGTCATTAAATACTACTACTACCACAGTCAGTAGATACCACTACAGTCAGTATATACTGCAGCTGATTTAGTAGATACGACTATAGAGTCAGCAGATACTGCTATACAGTCATCAGATACTCCTATAGAGTTAGTAGTTACTACTATAGGCATTGGCTATACAAGTACTATAGAGTTTGTAGATAATACTGTACAGTCAGTAGATACTACTATAGAGTCAGTAGTTATGACTGTAGAGTCCGTGAATTCTACTGTTGCAAATTCAACTGAGTTTCAGTCATACTATTAGAGGCAACACATGTTTTTAACACCAACAAACAGGGTAACTGCCCCTTAACAGAATGACAACCTATGGTGGTGACCACCAGGCTAACTACACTAATTACAACGTAACTATCTACGACAGACCAGGACCACAGCTCGGGTCCAGGTCCACGTGTTGGAGACTCGGTAGAACGTAGACATAGACGAAGGTTCCTTCAAGATGAACAACAATCCCAGCCCCTCTGGGGGACCAGGCTTATATTCTCTGCGGCGTGGGTGGCTCTGCCCTTGGCCACGACCATCTTCCAGAATCCTCGAGCAGCATCTGGACCCCGACCACGTGACCACCCCTAAGCCCCCACTTGCGGCCCCTTTGTAGACTTAACCCGTCACGTGTCTTCTCGGGTCAACCAGTGTGCCATGGCCTTCAGTTACCCTTTTTGCCCTATGGCCGGCTTTGCACACCAAGCATGATGCCATCCAGCGCTATCACTCAGCACTGACCGAGCCTCTCTAGGGCCGGCACTACACAGTGCCATACCGCGATGTCACTACACTACTATAGAGTAGGTAGATACTACTGTCGTCACTAGATTTGACTGTATAGTCAGTAGTTACTACTATAGAGTCGGTGGAATTTTGGGAATTTTGGGACAGAGAGTGGCGAGGGTTCGGATAGGGGAAACTGGGCTGGTATTGGTCTCCAAGTCGTTGGCTGTGCCCTGCCTTATGGGCACCGATTTTTTTGGGGAGGTTCCCCTCAAAATCCTTATTTACCTAGAGTGCATTGAAATGCCATAGGGACATCGATTGGCCTTTCTGCAATCCCCTACTAGGCTGGCAGTGGCAAAGGAATCTGTTACGATTCCACCAGGTGCACAGATACTGGTTCCCTTACAGCTCAGGAATCATCTGGAATTGGTGGATCCAAAGGAGGGAGTCCTCTTAACCCGGTCTAACATAGTGACTCAGGGTCTCACGTTGTTGGGCGCTCAGACTATTGTCAGAACGTACCAAGAGCCCTTTTCACAGGTGCTAAATTTTGGGCTTGGGGCAGCTGTGGTCCAAACTGACACAGTGTTGGCCCATGCAACTGCTGCACGTTGCGAGGAGACTGACACAGCTGCAGCAGAGGTCGTTGGCGTGGTGGAAGGGGAGGCAAGTCGGACGAGACATGGATCCGAATCGACCCAAGAATAACGGGAAGAGTTGGGTGCTCTATTGCAGGAGTTTGCGGATATTTTTAGCAAGGGAAAATTTGACATTGGCCACACTTCGTTACTGCAGCACCGCATCAACATGGGGAACGCAGCCCTGATAAGACAGAGTTCATATAGGATGAGCCCCTAAGAGAAGGACCATGTCCGGCAGGCAGTTGGTGAAATGTTGGCCGCGGACATTATCTCTCCCTCTACCAGCCCGTGGGGTGCTCCCATTGTATTGGTTAAAAAACAGGGAGGGGAGCCTGGGATTTTGCATAGATTTCCGGAAACTGAATCAAATTTCCATGGCAGATGCATATCCACTCCCTCAGATGGACGATTTCCTGGATGCGTTGTCTGGTGCCCAGTTTTTCTCGACCCTCGATTTCTTATCAGGGTTCTGGCAGCCGCCCCTGGACTAGGAATCCAAACCTAAGACCGCGTTCTGGACGCCCAAAGGGTTGTTCCAATTTAAATGCCTTCCTATGAGGCTGCATTCGGCTCCAGCCAAGTTTCAAAGGCTGAAGTATTTGGTCTTGGCAGGTCTGCGATGGGATTCGTGCCTCATTTATCTGGACGATGTCATCATGTTCGGACGCACATTCAAAGAGCACTTGCTGCAATTATGGTCGGTGTTTGTCAGAGTGTGGGTGGCCAACCTTAAATTAAAACCGCAAAAAGTACCACGTCTCACAAACATCTGTGCGGTATTTGGGCCATATTGTTAGCACATCCGGGATAGCCATGGACCCTGACAAAATGGCGGCCTGCCATCTGTTCTGGTTAAAGATGCGAGTGACACAGGCATAGGAGCTGTCCTGTCCTATGTTAAGAATGGAGTGGAAAGGGTAGTTGGATATGGCAGCCGCGTCTTGTTCACTACAGAAAAGCGGTACAGTGTCACCCACAGGGAACTCTTGGCCATGGTGTACTTTGTACAACAGTACAGGCCTTCTTCTTGGTTCTTTCGGTAAAGTCACGTAGAAGGGAAGTAATAAAATAATAAAAATAAAACATAATAAAATTATTCTCACGACGTTTCGGCCACAACGCAAGCAGCCGTCCTCAGGTGAAAACCATGTCCGTCGAGGCGACAGAGTCTGAATGAAACAGCACACGAGCTTGGAGCATATATATAAGCTGGGCGCCTTGACAAAGGAATTTGCATATCAAGAGGAATTTAGCATATTTATGGGAAATGCAGGAATGTGATTGGTACTACATATGCATGTGCATTATGCAGGATTAACAGCATCAAAGGGAGCTGCAGTTGCTGCTGCTGCTGCAGTTGCTGCTGCTGCTGCAGTTGCTGCTGCAGTTTCTGCTGCTGCTGCAGTTTCTGCTGCTGCTGCAGTTACTGCTGCTGCTGCAGTTGCTGCTGCTGCTGCAGTTGCTGCCTTATCCATTTTAATATAACACTATGTATTATTCTACCCACCATAATGTGTATCACACTGCTATATATTTACTATACAATTACGACACCATACATTACTCTACACACTGCACCATGCCAGTGAGTGGAACGCGGTCTGAAAGTCACCGTAAACGTGAACACAATCAGTTAAGATCCGAAATGGTTTATTATGTCCTTCCAATGATTGCTAAGCCAGAATCCATCTTCTCGGTTGAAATTGTCTCTGTGTTTGTATATGTGGATCGCCTCATGAACGAATCTCTCATGATAGCCAGATGGCTTGCAGAGAACCTCTGTCTTGGAGAAGTCAATGTCATGTGAGCCCACTGAATTGTAACAGTGATCTGCCACGGCTGAGGTGTTTGTCCTACCGTGTTTCAGGTCTGCTTTATGTTCACGGATGCGGTCCGAGATATGTCGTTTGGTTTCTCCAATGTAACTGCTACCACAGAGGCAACTTAGTTTGTAGACGCCAGGGTACTGTATGTCTGGAACCACATCTTTTACAGACGGGACCAGATCACGGATTTTATGTACTGTGTTGAATCGGACCTGGATCTTGTGTTTAATCAGGATTTTGGAGATCTTTTTTGTGACCCCAGCAATGTAGGGTAAGGTGATGGTCTTGAAAGGCTCCTCAACAGGATCCTTCTTGATGGTTGGAGTGATGGCCTTGCGGATTGTGTAGTCGGAGTAACCATTAGCCTTAAGAGCTTGGCGTACGTGTTTGAGTTCACTGGCAATATGTTCTTGGTCGGAATGCATTGGGCTCTATGGTATAGAGTCTTGATGAGGGAATTCTTCTGGGATGGATGGTGGTGGGAATCCGGTTTTAGGTAAGCATCCGTATGGGTGGCTTTCCTGTAGACAAAGTGGCTAATTGAACCATCAGGTCTCCTTTTAATTAGGACATCCAAAAAGGGTAGCTTGCCATCTTTTTCGACTTCCATGGTGAATCTGATGGCTGGGTGTATGGAATTGATGTGGTCGAGAAATTGGTCTAGAGCAGGCCGGCCATGTGGCCAGATGACAAAAGTGTCATCTACGTACCTCTTCCATAAGGTCGGGCGTAGAGTGACTTTACCGAAAGAACCAAGAAGATGAATCCCTGCAGTCACGAAAGCTTTAAATCAAAATTTAGTACAGGCCTAATCTCTATGGCAGGGATTTTGTTGTTCGCATGGTTCACGCGGCCCTTCAGTACTCCCTGCGAGTGGACCAACCTTCCGGCCAGCTCTCACGTTGGCTGGAAATACTTCTGGAGTATTCGTTCCGAGTGATATACCATGAAGGGGTGCTGCATTGTAACGCTGACGTGTTGTCCCACCTGCCCCCGGGGGTGGGTTGTGCGTGTTTGTCGGGCGCGGGTCGATGTAAACCTCCGGTGGCGGGGTCTCTGGCCATCATAACGGTGCTCAATGAGGAGGAGCCCGCCAAGGTGGTCGCGCCGGGGGACAGCACTTTCAATCTCATGAGTGCCGAGTGGGGGCGGTTGCAAATGGAGGATGTATCCCTTATTGCGTTGCAGAGTCGCGCTGAGTTGAGGCATAAAGAGTCTACTCCTATGGATGCCCCGCAATCGTTTCTTCAGGACGGCCTCTTGATGCGGGGCAGATTGAAGTGGGTGGTGCACGAGGATAAAATGTTACATCTTCGGGTGCGGAAGACGTTGTTGACGTTGCAGAGCGACTTTTATTGGCCGGGAATGTCGAGTGACATGTACCACTTGGTCAAGGGCTGTACGGACTGCGCGTGCAGTAAGCCGCTGCTAAGAAAGTCCCAGCCTCCGTTGCAGTCCATTTCAGTGTCCCAGATTAACGAGTTGGTCGCGCTCGATATTCTGGGACTTTCTCGGTCACGCAGAGAGGGAATAATTTATCCTGGTAGGGGTGGAATATTTATCTCGGTGGCCGATGGTCTGGCCATTGCCCGACCAATCGGCCGCTTCCATGGCTGATGCATTTTTGAACGGCTACGTAATCATTCATTTAAATTAAAGAAGTGCCTCCAAGTCTTAGAATCTCTGAGTTAAGTCACTACACTACTTTAGAATCACTAGATGCTACTTTAGAGTCAGTTGGTACTACTATAGAGTCACTAGATACTGCTGACTCTATTGTATGAGGGTGTGTAGGTATATATGACTACAAAATAAAAATTGGCTGGGGGGGGGCGGTTATTAAAATTTTTGGAGGGGGGGTCGACAATTGTCGGAAACCTATTAGATCAACTATCTACACCGCATTTACTATTACTTTTTGATTCAGGACTTCTGCAAGCCTCTTATAATTTCGTTGATGGACAAATGAACAAACGGAACGCTGGGCTTCCACAATAGCTTAGTATTTGTGTATGTATATGTTTTTTTTTTTTTATAAGAGAAGACAATTTTTGAAATAAAATTTTCCCGCAGACAAAGCTGGGTACTTCCTTTTAGTAAGATACAGTGGTACCCCGGAGATCGAGTTTAATTCGTTCCAGAAGGCCATTCGAACACCGAATTAATTTCCCCCATAAGAATTCATGTAAATGACATTAATTAGTTTCAGACACAAGAAATCTCTCATTATAAAGCATTTTAACACGAATTTTACAGTAATTACATGCATAAAAATCATTTAAAAAAACAAGAAACACAATAAATAAATAAATGGGATAAATGAATAAATATATGGAATCAATGAAATAAATGAACATTGAACTTCACTTTACCTGTAGTAAGGAGAGTTGATGGCTTGAGTGGAAGGTGGTGAGGAGGAGGAGGTGGTGGTGTTATTGTTTGGAAGGGAAGTCCCCTTCCATAATAACGTCCGGTAACTGCCCTTCTGGGGTTCTTTCTCTTTTGTGCTTCTTTTCTGCCACTAACTGTGAGTCACTTGAGCTCTTTCTGACTAAAAACTTATCTAAAGAGGTTTGTTTCTGCCTCCGTTTCAGGATGTTTAAAAATGACGTTGCATTATCATTAAAAAGATGTCTCACTCGGTTGGCTACTGCCTTATCTGGGTGAGAGCTACGTGTTAACTTCGCCTCTCATGCGGTAAAACCTTTGTCTGGGCATGCATCATGACGCTGGCCATACGCGTCTCGGCCATACAGGTTCTTTCAAGTCGCGATTGCCCGTTCGACCTCCGAATTTCGGTCGGTTTCTGGGGCAAAAAATGTTCCGAAATATCGTTCGAACACCGATTTGTTCGAGTTCTGGTGCGTTCGATCTCCGAGGTTCTACTGTATATACAATGTTACTTAAAATAATATCCAGGAGTAATCCGACTTTAACTCTAACATATACATTCTTTCATTAAGTTTATAGAGGTACTGTAAAGCGCACCTGCTCTTGACACATCACAGGACATGGGGATAACTCATGAACAGGGGGACACTGATACTCAGAGGAACACATGGTCACACGTGGAACACTGAGACTCAGCGGGACACATGGGAAAACTTGGAGACACTGAGACTCAAAGGGACGCGTGGGAACACTGAATTTATGTGGAATGTTGTCCAAGTCCTATGAAAAATATTAAATCCACTTTAAAATGAGTCTGAGCCACTCGCTGTAGTTTCGTTATAATTAGATATTGCTGTTGACAACCAATGACAGAGTTCATCAGCTTATGCTGCTGTATCGTGGGTACTACTCGGTGACTGTGATAACTTCCTCCTCACCTTTCGTTTGTCGTGCTCCATCTTCAGAGTGACGAGCTTGTGCCCTCGATGATCCACAGTGACGGTGCAGTCCCTGCAGACGAGGCGTCCGTCGTTAACGCAGTAGAAGAGGTACTCGTCTCCGTGCTCCGCGCACCGTCGATTCTCCAGGTTCACACCGGGCGACACCAGGACGTGGTCACGAAACTTTGCCAACTGCCGGTGGGGCGCGACGTGGGTCATACAGAACGAGGTCTCACACTTGAGGCAAGTCTTCACTGCGGGCTTCCTGCAATGATCGCAGCAAACAGCCGAAGCAGCAGCATCGGCAGCCATGGGCTCAGCCACTCGCAGCTGCTCGATGAGGTTGGTGAGCGTCACGCTCTTGTTCAGCTTGGGCCTCCGAGGGAAAGTCACTCGGCACTGTGGGCAGGAGAAGGACTCTGCCGCATTCCAGGCGTCTTCCACGCACTTGAGGCAGAACGAGTGGCCGCAGCTGAGCGTGCAGGGGCAGCGGAAGGCATCCAGGCAGATGGGGCAGGTCAACTCCCCTGGAGCCTCGCTACCGCTGGGAGCCGCACTCGCCATGGCCCCGTGGCTTCACTCAGAGACAGGCGCTGGCTGTAGCTGAGGCAGTCTCTGGCTGTAGCTCAGGCAGTCTCTGGCTGTAGCTCAGGCCGTCTCTGTCTGTAGCTCAGGCAGTCGCTGGCTGTAGCTCAGGCAGTCTCTAACTCAGGCAGTATCTGGCTGTAGCTCAGGCAGTCTCTGACTAACTCAGGCAGTCTCTGGCTGTAGCTCAGGCAGTCTCTGTACGTTTCTCAGGCTGTCGCTGGCTGCGTCTGAGACGCTAAACGAGGAACAAGCCACGTCAATAGGTGACAAGGAAGCAGGAAGTCTTTCAGTTTGAGTTGCGTATCACGAGGCGTGCCCTGGAATGTGTTGACGTGTGAGCGAGTAAAGACGTCTCCGCTCCAGGGGTGGCTTAAAAAAGACGACTCGGATTGCTACATCTCAAATTCTCATCCTCACTCACCTCACCTCAACTCACCTCACCCCATCGTAACTCACCTCATCGCAACTCACCTCAGGGGCCGTCCATAAACGACGTCACACGATTTTGGACGATTTTGGACCCCCCCCCCTCGTCACACGGCGTCACAAAAAGTCAGACCCCCCCCCCTCAAATATGACGTCACAAAGCTCTGCCCCCCCACCCCAAAACCATCTTTCCATTTATAAAATAAAACATGCTTCAAATCGCTTTAAACTATTGTCATTGTAGTGCGTATTTAATGTGGCGCTGAACTCTGATGTTGTAGGAGAAAACATATGTTTAAAAGGAGGCGTTGGAAAGCTTACATTTAGCATAAAATTAACTTGAAAATATTCAACGTATAACTAAAACTGCAGATGTTCAGAATATTATATTGAAATTATATTATAATTATAAAACATTAAAAGTAATTATAACTATAAAAATACTTGAAACTTTGTAGAAGAACGAAGCAAAATGGAGAGTACAATAATAACAACAATATATTCAGTCCAGAGAATGAAAATCCCTGGTAGAATGATTAGAATAAAAATGTTAACTAACAATCTTTAAAAAAATGTTCAAAATGTATGCTTCTCCATTCTCCCATGGAGAAGCAAAATGCTCCTTCATGGAATAAATAAAAGGTGACCTTAGTAAATTTAAATAATCAAATAGTTAATAATGAAAATGTATCAAAAATTAATGTTGTTATAACAGTTCTATATTTATTTTAATGTTGATGTCACATTTCTCAACCCCCCCCCCCTCGTCACGCATCGTCACAACTGTCTGACACCCCCCCCCCCTAGGTGCGTGACGTCATTTATGGACGGCCCCTTACCTCAGCTCACCTCAACTCACCTCACCTCAAATCACCTCACCCCATCGTAACTCACCTCACCTCAACTAAACGCACCTCAACTCACGTCAACTCACCTCAACTCACCTCATCTCACCTCAACTAAACTCACCACATCAACTAACCTCACCTCAACTCGTCTCAACTGAACTGACAGGGGAATGTGGGGGCTGACGTCCAACTCCCCGTTCCCCGTGAGCGGGTGGGGCGTGACGTCCATCCCCTCCACTTCCCCCTCCTCCACTTCGGCCGCCTCTCGCCGGGCCCCCGCCATTCGAGTGATCGGCCCCCCCGCGCCAACGCACTCTTTGAGGGACATCACTACTCGGCTGGCTCACCACCGCCCGGGGTTATCTCTCACACGCCCACGTACACCACCACCACTAATGCGGAGGTGGCTGCGTGCACGCGCGCGCCCCTGCCGGTGCTTGTTGCACACAAAGGCTCGCGCAAAAAAATAGCCATATGTATATGCACGCGCCCCTCCCCGTGACTAAGCCCTAATCCGCTGTGTAACTGTGCTACGCGACAAAGGGGATGGCTGCGGCATGACCCTGGGTGCACGCCTCACCTTTAAGGCTATTTTTAAATCCTTTATATTAAGGTCGCTTGCTTGCTTGCGCGCTTACGACCGTGCAAATCTTTCGGTCGTTTTTTAACCCACTTCCCGTGATCCAATCGAGCTGACATTTTCCACACAGACTCGTTGTGCGTGACAATACATTTTCGTGAAATTTTTTTTCAAAAATTTTACACTGTTTAGGAAAAAATATTATATTTCATTACGAATTGCTTAATGCTGGCAGACAATCAACCGACCCATAGGTGGCAGCCATCTCAAGCCAGAGGACGAGAGGACTCTAGCCGCCACGCATATAAAGGATTTATAGTGAAAAACTTTGTTTTTACGGGTTATATTATTACTATGTCCATGCGCCTTGTAAAGGCATGTGAATGCCAGCGAGCGGGTGGATCGACCCCGCCTTAATCACTCACGCGGCGCTGCGTCTTTCAGCTTTCTTTCAGCTTCTCTTTAAGTTTAACACTTTAAACTACTTGATGAAAATAATTTGTTCCTGTCTCAAAGTTGCGTTCCAGTTGTCGAGCTGTGAGACACCGGTGGGAGTTGCCGTGTTTAACTCGGTCACGGGGCTGCGGCTCAGGGTCAAGTTTGCGAAGCTACAAACCACCGGGCGAGGCCCTTTGCTGAACCCGGCACCGTTACCCGCTCATGTGGGCGGGGGGCAGGCGCCCCAGGGGTAGTGCGGCCGTAACACATCAACATCAGCGCATAAAAAAAACTAAATAGTACATTTTTTTTCCGGTATCAAAGTGTGAGAAGATAATAATGATAGGTTTTACCCTATCTGGCAATACAACGTGAGTTGTGTTCAGATGTTCAAACACCAATTAAGTTTGTGTGGTTAATGCAGACTTTATTCCTTGCAAAAGGCATCAATTTTGTGTTCGAACATCTTAACATCTGATGGAACTTCCCTTGCCAGTATCAAAATATAAGAATAGGTTTTACCCTTTCTGGAAATTAAACAGGAGTTGTGTTAAGATGTTAAAACACCAAACAAAAACTTTTGCGAGGAATAATGTCTGCATTAACCACACACAGTACTTGTGGTGAATATGCAAACAAAACATGCATTGATAATGTAAAGGCATTGTCTTTGAAACTGATTGGCCTACACCAGAGACAGCAGCCTTCTTTATGGCCAAGTCTCACCACCAATGTTTGTAGACTAGAGAACACTAAAACACGATCAGTACAAAGGCAAGAGAAAGCAGTTAGGATCCAATTTCTTTGCCCTGCAATTCCCACAATGCATTTTCTTCTTGGGCACCAGCGCGGATTTTTCAACATTGTTTAAATGGCGACAAAAACAAGGACATTAACTGGCTCAGGAATTCTAGATTTAAAGCTTTCGTGACTACAAAGAACCGTCAAAGCACAATTGCTGATGCTGATGCAGCAATTGTGCTGTGACGGTTCCACCTGAAGACAGAAGCTTGTGTTGCCTCCGAAACGTCGTGATTTATTATTTTTTCTATTATTTATTATTATTTATGTTTAATATTTATTTTTTACCTACGTGAATTTACCGAAAAAACCTAAGAGTATGGCTCAGGAATACAGCGAAACTTAACAAGATTTGGAATTAATTAACCATATCTCGATTCGTCATACAATATTGAAACACTTTGCTCAAGGACGCAAACCAACTGTGGAGAAAATCATTTATTGACAACCAAGTGCAACCAATTCTTAGAAACTCTCGGCAACATTAACAGCGCACGTTTACATAACCCCTTTAGTCCACCGGCTTAACACGGCGACCCCACAGCGCGTCGACGATCGCAGAACTCCGCGGCGACCGTTCGCACCACAACCCTGACGCGCGCTCCGCTCCTGGGTGACGAGGCAACGCGGCAGAAGCCCACCCAGCTTGGAGCGCAACATTCACTCTCGAGGTCGCGTGCAGCCTCGGGGATCCCCCCCAGGACCCAACGGTAGTGAGTGCAGCACTCCAAGGATTCAACGCAGCATCAACCTCAACCTTGGCTCGCACTCACAACGGTGCCCTTTAATGGTTCCACGCAGCCGCAGCCTAGGGACTTGGTTGGTTGCTCTCAACAGCGCTCTGAGCGACCCTGCTCAGCAGCAGCCACGCCCGCACGGCAGCACCGCACACAGCTGCTCCATGCACCAGCAGCATCGGACACCGACTCGCTGACACCACAGCAGCCGCTCCTCTGCAAGAGCCCCCCACCACCCGCCAACCGGCCCCGGTGAACGACGACCACCCCAGCCCCTCGTGCAGTAGAACCCCTCCTCTTAACGATGTTAATTTGTCTCACGAAACCGGTCGTTAAGTGAATTGGTCGTTAAGTGTGTCTATTAAATACCCGTTAAAGGATTACTTTGTTCTGATAGCTTCGAAAGTTACCCTTTTTCACCCAAAAACGCACTTCATAGTATTTAAACGATGGGTATGAATACAGGAAGATACTAACAGCAATATAAACAAATACCAACAACAGCCCGTCGTCAACAGGGGAATGGTCGATAAGTGAATACATTGTGCTCAATGGAGACCCGTCGTTAAGCGATTAGTCGTTAACAGAGGTGATCGTTGGGGAGGGGCTCTATACTACACTACTATCCACTACACTAGTGTAGTGGCATAGAATCGGTCACATACAGTATTTTTATTTTACTTTTATTAATTTTAATTTTTTACCTACGTGACTTTACCGAAAAAACCTAAGAATAGGGAAAAAAGTGTTTGATCCCCTGCTGATTTTGTACGTTTGCCCACTGACAAAGAAATGATCAGTCTATAATTTTAATGGTAGGTTTATTTGAACAGTGAGAGACAGAATAATAACAAAAAAATCCAGAAAAACGCATGTTAAAAATTTTATGAATTGATTTGCATTTTAATGAGAGAAATACGTATTTGACCCCCTCTCAATCAGAAAGATTTCTGGCTCCCAGGTGTCTTTTATACAGGTAACGATCTGAGATTAGGAGCACACTCTTCAAGGGAGTGTTCCTAATCTCAGCTTGTTACCTGTATAAAAGACACCTGTTCACAGAAGCAATCAATCAATCAGATTCCAAACTCTCCACCATGGCCAAGACCAAAGAGCTATCCAAGGATGTCAGGGACAAGATTGTAGACCTACACGAGGCTGGAATGGGCTACAAGACCATCGTCAAGCAGCTTGGTGAGAAGGTGACAACAGTTGGTGCGATTATTCGCAAATGGAAGAAACACAAAAGAACTGTCAATCTCCCTCGGCCTGGGGCTCCATGCAAGATCTCACCTCGTGGAGTTGCAGTGATCATGAGAACGGTGAGGAATCAGCCCAGAACTACACGGGAGGATGTTGTCAATGATCTCAAGGCAGCTGGGACCATAGTCACCAAGA